ATCGGCACCGCAACGACATCACTCCGCTAGAGCTCCGGTCAACGGTGATACATCGGTATAACATCGGCACCGCAACGACATCACTCCGCAAGAGCTCCGGTCAACGGTGAAACATCGGTACAACATCGGCACCGCAACGACATCACTCCGCTAGAGCTCCGGTCAACGGTGATACATCGGTATAACATCGGCACCGCAACGACATCACTCCGCAAGAGCTCCGGTCAACGGTGATACATCGGTATAACATCGGCACCGCAACGACATCACTCCGCAAGAGCTCCGGTCAACGGTGAAACATCGGTACAACATCGGCACCGCAACGACATCACTCCGCTAGAGCTCCGGTCAACGGTGATACATCGGTATAACATCGGCACAGCAACGACATCACGCCGCTAGAGCTCTGGTCAACGTGTGATACATCGGTATAACATCGGCATCGCAACGACATAACGCCGCTAGAGCTCCGGTCAACGGTGATACATCGGTATAACATCGGCACCGCAACGACATCACTCCGCTAGAGCTCCGGTCAACGGTGATACATCGGTATAACATCGGCACCGCAACGACATCACTCCGCAAGAGCTCCGGTCAACGGTGATACATCGGTATAACATCGGCACCGCAACGACATCACTCCGCAAGAGCTCCGGTCAACGGTGAAACATCGGTACAACATCGGCACCGCAACGACATCACTCCGCTAGAGCTCCGGTCAACGTTGATACATCGGTATAACATCGGCACCGCAACGACATCACGCCGCTAGAGCTCTGGTCAACGTGTGATACATCGGTATAACATCGGCACCGCAACGACATAACGCCGCTAGAGCTCCGGTCAACGGTGATACATCGGTATAACATCGGCACCGCAACGACATAACGCCGCTAGAGCTCCAGTCAACGGTGATACATCGGTATAACATCGGCACCGCAACGACATCACTCCGCTAGAGCTCCGGTCAACGGTGATACATCGGTATAACATCGGCACCGCAACGACATCACTCCGCTAGAGCTCCGGTCAACGGTGATACATCGGTATAACATCGGCACCGCAACGACATCACTCCGCTAGAGCTCCGGTCAACGGTGATACATCGGTTTAACATCGGCACCGCAACGACATCACTCCGCTAGAGCTCCGGTCAACGGTGATACATCGGTATAACATCGGCACCGCAACGACATCACTCCGCAAGAGCTCCGGTCAACGGTGAAACATCGGTACAACATCGGCACCGCAACGACATCACTCCGCTAGAGCTCCGGTCAACGGTGATACATCGGTATAACATCGGCACCGCAACGACATCACTCCGCAAGAGCTCCGGTCAACGGTGATACATCGGTATAACATCGGCACCGCAACGACATCACTCCGCAAGAGCTCCGGTCAACGGTGAAACATCGGTACAACATCGGCACCGCAACGACATCACTCCGCTAGAGCTCCGGTCAACGGTGATACATCGGTATAACATCGGCACAGCAACGACATCACGCCGCTAGAGCTCTGGTCAACGTGTGATACATCGGTATAACATCGGCACCGCAACGACATAACGCCGCTAGAGCTCCGGTCAACGGTGATACATCGGTATAACATCGGCACCGCAACGACATCACTCCGCTAGAGCTCCGGTCAACGGTGATACATCGGTATAACATCGGCACCGCAACGACATCACTCCGCAAGAGCTCCGGTCAACGGTGATACATCGGTATAACATCGGCACCGCAACGACATCACTCCGCAAGAGCTCCGGTCAACGGTGAAACATCGGTACAACATCGGCACCGCAACGACATCACTCCGCTAGAGCTCTGGTCAACGTGTGATACATCGGTATAACATCGGCACCGCAACGACATAACGCCGCTAGAGCTCCGGTCAAGTGTGATACATCGGTATAACATCGGCACCGCAACGACATAACGCCGCTAGAGCTCCGGTCAACGGTGATACATCGGTATAACATCGGCACCGCAACGACATCACTCCGCAAGAGCTCCGGTCAACGGTGATACATCGGTATAACATCGGCACCGCAACGACATCACTCCGCTAGAGCTCCGGTCAACGGTGAAACATCGGTATAACATCGGCACCGCAACGACATCACTCCGCTAGAGCTCCGGTCAACGGTGATACATCGGTATAACATCGGCACCGCAACGACATCACTCCGCAAGAGCTCCGGTCAACGTGTGATACATCGGTGCAACATCGGCACCGCAACGACATCACTCCGCTAGAGCTCCGGTCAACGGTGATACATCGGTATAACATCGGCACCGCAACGACATCACTCCGCTAGAGCTCCGGTCAACGGTGATACATCGGTATAACATCGGCACCGCAACGACATCACTCCGCAAGAGCTCCGGTCAACGGTGAAACATCGGTACAACATCGGCACCGCAACGACATCACTCCGCTAGAGCTCCGGTCAACGGTGATACATCGGTATAACATCGGCACCGCAACGACATCACGCCGCTAGAGCTCTGGTCAACGTGTGATACATCGGTATAACATCGGCACCGCAACGACATAACGCCGCTAGAGCTCCGGTCAACGGTGATACATCGGTATAACATCGGCACCGCAACGACATCACTCCGCTAGAGCTCCGGTCAACGGTGATACATCGGTATAACATCGGCACCGCAACGACATCACTCCGCAAGAGCTCCGGTCAACGGTGATACATCGGTATAACATCGGCACCGCAACGACATCACTCCGCAAGAGCTCCGGTCAACGGTGAAACATCGGTACAACATCGGCACCGCAACGACATCACTCCGCTAGAGCTCCGGTCAACGGTGATACATCGGTATAACATCGGCACCGCAACGACATCACGCCGCTAGAGCTCTGGTCAACGTGTGATACATCGGTATAACATCGGCACCGCAACGACATAACGCCGCTAGAGCTCCGGTCAACGGTGATACATCGGTATAACATCGGCACCGCAACGACATCACTCCGCTAGAGCTCCGGTCAACGGTGATACATCGGTATAACATCGGCACCGCAACGACATCACTCCGCAAGAGCTCCGGTCAACGGTGAAACATCGGTACAACATCGGCACCGCAACGACATCACTCCGCTAGAGCTCCGGTCAACGGTGATACATCGGTATAACATCGGCACCGCAACGACATCACTCCGCAAGAGCTCCGGTCAACGGTGAAACATCGGTACAACATCGGCACCGCAACGACATCACTCCGCTAGAGCTCCGGTCAACGGTGATACATCGGTATAACATCGGCACCGCAACGACATCACGCCGCTAGAGCTCCGGTCAACGTGTGATACATCGGTATAACATCGGCACCGCAACGACATCACTCCGCTAGAGCTCCGGTCAACGGTGATACATCGGTATAACATCGGCACCGCAACGACATCACTCCGCTAGAGCTCCGGTCAACGGTGATACATCGGTATAACATCGGCACCGCAACGACATCACTCCGCTAGAGCTCCGGTCAACGGTGATACATCGGTATAACATCGGCACCGCAACGACATCACTCCGCAAGAGCTCCGGTCAACGGTGAAACATCGGTACAACATCGGCACCGCAACGACATCACTCCGCTAGAGCTCCGGTCAACGGTGATACATCGGTATAACATCGGCACCGCAACGACATCACGCCGCTAGAGCTCCGGTCAACGTGTGATACATCGGTATAACATCGGCACCGCAACGACATAACGCCGCTAGAGCTCCGGTCAACGGTGATACATCGGTATAACATCGGCACCGCAACGACATCACTCCGCTAGAGCTCCGGTCAACGGTGATACATCGGTATAACATCGGCACCGCAACGACATCACTCCGCAAGAGCTCCTGTCAACGGTGATACATCGGTATAACATCGGCACCGCAACGACATCACTCCGCAAGAGCTCCGGTCAACGGTGAAACATCGGTACAACATCGGCACCGCAACGACATCACTCCGCTAGAGCTCCGGTCAACGTTGATACATCGGTATAACATCGGCACCGCAACGACATCACGCCGCTAGAGCTCTGGTCAACGTGTGATACATCGGTATAACATCGGCACCGCAACGACATAACGCCGCTAGAGCTCCGGTCAACGGTGATACATCGGTATAACATCGGCACCGCAACGACATCACTCCGCTAGAGCTCCGGTCAACGGTGATACATCGGTATAACATCGGCACCGCAACGACATCACTCCGCTTGAGCTCCGGTCAACGGCAATACATCGGTATAACATCGGCGGCGCATCGGTAACACTAAGGTGACAGGAAAAGTGGTATTCGGAAGCACATCGTCTCTTACAACGGTAGAACAACGGGAACGCCGGTACTACATCGGTATTGCTACGGTCGATTTTAAATTTTCAAGCGCTTTCTCGCCGGAGCTCCGCCGATTTTCACAACGTTGTTAAATTTATTGCTCCGTTAAGTCCCGGCGAGGTACATGTGTACATCGGTAGTGTGTGACAGGCCCATTAGAAAGAACCATTGTCGGACAGACCAAGCACCGGTCCGCTGTTGATGTAAAAATTATCAAACATTTTAGTCAGCTGCTGCGACTAGTGGTACTTCAAGTCAGGATTTGAGTTGATAAATAGTTTTAAAATATATATTCCAGTAACATTACATAGTAATAGCGATGGAAGCGCGTTGCCATTAGCGCCGAGGGTCCATTAGCGCACGGTACCCATATGGATGTGCTGTTGATACAACAGTTGCTGTCAACCCCTTTTCTATAGAAAAGATCATGTGTCGCACTGAACATCGAAATGACAAAGGTGTGATGATTTGTTTATGATAGTATAAACAGTTTGTTTCAAACATTCTAACATACACAAATTAATGGTTTAGTTAATACACATGATATACGTATTTAAAACATTAATTGTTATTCAAATTAAGTAACGTCGGATGCAGATAGAACTTCGGAACCCATCAAAGAACATACCTCTCATTTTCATGGGCTCGCTGATGGTGACGACGACCACGCCCGACACCACCTCCCCCGACGTGTACACAGTCCTCGAGTTGTCAAGTCGTATACAGAACTCCTGTAACTTGCCCATGATGCTGCTTCCTGGCGCCGACAGTAACAACACTTGGCGGAGACGTCACAGAGTATCTACCATTACACTCAAGGTAGCTAATATAATCACCATGCGAAGGCCATGTCGAAGAGAAATATTTCTGATCTATTGATAGGAATAGATTAATTTACGTTCTTTCAATTATACGTCAGTTTAGTCGTACCCGTGACAAAGACACATCGCAGAAACGTTGACAACATCGGCGTCACCGCCTCAGCAACAGCAACATATCATGTTAAAATGTCCTTCTATCCTCGACCAATGCAGTTACCACAGCCGTTCCTTCCCGCGTGTTTCATGCGAATGACTCTCACGTAGCAGCCGTAGTAAAACTATTCCAACTTACTTAAATCGTTGGCAAATTGTTAAACATTCAAATGGTCGTCGATAAAGCACATTCGGAACAGTCTCACAGACGCACACCACGGAACATGGTGGGCTACAGTCCCGGACCGAGTAACGTCCAACGCCCGGTACTGATAGCTCCAGCGAGGATGTGAAGTCAGTCAGCTGCCTCTATAGTGATCTACAGATTCACCAGTTTGACACCGGCGGGAATTATAAATATGTTTACCCAAGTGGATCAATACTGATGCTTTTGTATCGGTTTGAGTAGCATAGACGCTGAGTTACAGCGCTATCGGGACATTGTCCCGGGTACAGTCGAGTACTCAGTCTACTCCACTGTTCTGCACAGGAGGCATTTAATTAAGCTGCGGTCATCTACCAATCAGCCACGATGGCGACTATGCGAGGAATAGTGATAGCTGGTGCGATCATATCGAAATAAGTTAATGACTGACAACTAGCTTCCAATGCTACGCGGCGTGGGCGGTGGGGCATGTTTGTTTGTTAAAGCAAACAGTGATAACGACAACATTATGCAGTGACCGCGGCCGGCGTCAGGATGTTTTCATTTAGATGTGCGGAATCACGGAATAATCCCCTTCTGAATCCCTGGAACAAAGACGATTGAACTTTGAAGTTCCTACCAACGATGGCACCAAAATTAAGTCAAATGGTTCTGAAAGCTGAACTTAGATTAAATGATAATTGGTTTAAGTACTTTCTTTAATAAAACAACAAAATTCATCATTGACGGCAGTCAACATGGTCAACTTCAGATGTTGTCGACTATGTCGCAATACTCTTTGTCATCATCATCGTCATCATCATGATCATGATCATCATCAGAACCTGGAGGACCAAAGTGCTGAATTTATGAAGATGAATCACTTCACCTGAGATCGTAGTTTTTGTGAGGGCTGTGAAGGTTTATTTTAGTCTCATGCAGTCAACATTTGATTTATAAGGTGATTAAACAATAAGCCTTTCTGTCTGTCGAGCTGTTGGTAGTTTTTATATATTTATTTATTTACAGACCGCCGTCATATAGCTGGAATACTGCCGAGTGCGACGTTAAACAAGCAAACAAACACACACAAAGACACACGCACGCGCGCGCACACACGCACACACACACACATGCGTAGATCGATGATCATGATGACATTCTCTTGATTGTCTGGTCCAGACTCGTTTATTTACAGAACGCCGTCATATAGCATATATGCTTAGTGCGGCGTTAAACAACAAGCAAACAAACACAGACACACAGACGGACAAACAAACACACGCGCGCACAATCGTGTATGCATGTCGCTATATATAGGTGCAATGATATTCACCTCCACGTGGTAAACATCCCGACTACCGAGCGGTGAGACCTGCATCATGATCTGAGTGCGTTTCCTGGTTGAGTGCGTTTAAGTCTGCCCTATCACAGGATACATTAAGCAAGCCTCGACACTCATGCGTGTAATGTCAGGTACAGGGGGAGGATTCCAACACGCACGAACTGTATCAAGCAGGGTCGAGGGAGACATCAATGTGTTTCTTTATGAATAACCCTACAACAAAACGTCATGCGATTTAAATATTGTACGTGTTTGTAGTCGACGCCGCTGTACTATATGGCATTCTTCAGTGCACGGAGACATACTTCAGTGCATGGAGACATACTTCAGTGCATGGAGACATACGTCAGTGCATGGAGACATAAGTACTCGTATGTCTCCACGTGAGGAAGTTTCCATGCACTGAAGTATGTCTCCGTGCACTGAAGTATGTCTCCGTGCACTGAAGTATGTCTCCATGCAGTGAAGTATGTCTCCATGCAGTGAAGTATGTCTCCATGCAGTGAAGTATGTCTCCAGGCACTGAAGTATGTCTCCAGGCACTGAAGTTTACTTCAGTGCATGGAAACTTACTCACGTGGAAACATACCTCAGTGCATGGAGACATATTTCAGTGTATGGAGACATACTTCAGTGCATGGAGACATACGTCAGTGTATGTAGACATACTTCAGTGCATGGAGACATACGTTAGTGTATGGAGACATACTTCAGTGCATGGAGACATATTTCAGTGCATGGAGACATACTTCAGTGCACGGAGACATACTTCAGTGCATGGAGAAATACGTCAGTGTATGGAGACAAACTTCAGTGCATGGATACATACGTTAGTGTATGGAGACATACTTCAGTGCATGGAGACATACTTCAGTGCATGGAGACATACTTCAGTACATGGGGACATACTTCAGTGCATGGAGACATACTTCAGTGCATGGAGACATACTTCAGTGCATGGAGAAATACTTCAGTGTATGGAGACAAACTTCAGTGCATGGATACATACGTTGGTGTATGGAGACATACTTCAGTGCATGGAGACATACTTCAGTGCACGGAGACATACTTCAGTGCATGGAGAAATACGTCAGTGTATGGAGACAAACTTCAGTGCATGGAGACATACTTCAGTGCATGGAGACATGCTTCAGTGCATGGAGACATACTTCAGTGCACGGAGACATACTTCAGTGCACGGAGACATACTTCAGTGCATGGAGACATACTTCAGTGCACGGAGACATACTTCAGTGTATGGAGAAATACGTCAGTGTATGGAGACATACTTCAGTGCATGGAGACATACTTCAGTGCATGGAGACATGCTTCAGTGCATGGAGACATACTTTAGTACATGGAGACATACGTCAGTTCATGGAGACATACGTCAGTGCATGGAGTCAAACGTCAGTGCATGGAGACATACGACAGTGCATGGAGACATACTCCAGTGCATGGAGACATACTTCAGTTCATGGCGAACGGGTTATGGACGTCGCAGCTGCTGCAGTCACATGGCGCGATGAGGCAATATTACCTTGGTATTACCAAACACATACAAACCCCAACAGTTGGCTAATAAACATTTCCATAAAATAAAATAACACTAGAAACATGTGTCTTGTCATGGTGAGTTATTGAATGTTTCACGTGAATTTAGAATAATCAAATACAATCGATGGCTATCTGTGAGACTGAGCGATATATAAACTGCCAGGCAAAAGAAAGTATACACGCATGTTTGATGGTGAAATGGTTATTTGACGGTGATGTATTTGATACGGGTATCCTAGTTGTGTTTTGGACCTTAAGTATGAAGTGTTTCGGCGACTGTTTTAGCCTAGTGACGTTTTGATAACGGTTATAATTGTTTGGTCAAAAACAATTTTCAAGAGCATACTTTCTTTTCCCCGTCAGTTTATGTTGCAATACTTACACAGTACTGGGTTATACTTTCAATGTAGGCATAATGCGTGAAACCCATTTGTTTCAGTATGGTTGGAATAACTGTGCTAAACGTGGGAAAAGTCAACTCCCTCCTCAATACATTTATTCTACATTCTTGTATTTCGCAGGATTACACCAATAAGGCACAGTGAGCGTTATCTGCAGCAACTGCAAAGTTGAATACTACCGCGTTCTCTCGTCTCTATGCAAGTTAATAAAAGCGATAAAACACTTTAAAGCCACAAGAAATCTCGATTGTACGATTCCGATTGTATCACGAGCACGACGGTCGTGTTTATGAATCAAACAGTGTTCTCTCGTCACTATGCACGTTAACCCATGTCTCGTCATGTGCATCATCATTGTCCGACCCTCAACATGACAGAATCGGGTCAGAGATCCTTTTGGTCGTGGAAGTTATTTTCAAGGGATAGAATTCACTGTAAGTTTATTCGAAAAGAGTATGTTCTACCTTCCAAGTTTTCTTTAACCGATTACGAAGTAGATTTGTAATTCTACAAATGAAACAACACAATGTGTGATTCGTCGATTTCAAATCGTTATTTTAGATTCCATGTTTTGGGATATTTAGAAAAGATTTCGAACCACAAATTTAACATTCTCTGCAATTAATTTATTTTAAACGGTTTCGCAAATAACAGGCAATAAAGCCATCGCGCCTTGGTATGTCCTGAGAAGCGATAAGGCCATCACGTCTTGGTATGTCCTGACAAGCAATAAGGCCATCACGTCTTGGTATGTCCCGACAAGCAATAAGGCCATCATGTCTTGGTATGTCCTGACAACCAACAAGGCCACCACGCCTTGGTATGTCCTGACAACCAACAAGGCCACCACGCCTTGGTATGTTCTGACAACCAACAAGGCCACCCCACCTTGGTATGTTCTGACAACCAACAAGGCCACCACGCCTTGGTATGTTCTGACAACCAACAAGGCCACCCCACCTTGGTATGTTCTGACAACCAACAAGGCCACCACGCCTTGGTATGTCCTGACAAGAAATAAAGCCATTACGCCACACAAAACTTCATCTGCGGAAGCCAAGTCCTACCCACAACCCTCAGGTCTATGATTTAGGAATGCAGTTGTTTGCACACCGGCGTCATACATATAGAAGAGGTCAGAGGACACTGAATATTCATGTGTGTCCCTAGGGGTAATTACACTGACGCTTTTGGCCTTGCGCTCTACATCCCGCACAGAGGTTAATAAGGTCACGGATCTCTCTGCCTCCAGATCTCACGACCTGTCATAATATGTTCAGACCTTCGTGTCTCATAACCAGTCTCTACACGTACAGAGCTCAGAGGACCGCCTCTGTGGTCTAGTGGTAGAGCGTCAGCCCGGGGAGCGAAAGGTCGGTGGTTCGATACCCGGCCTCGTCATGCCAAAAGACGTTAAACCATGGTTCTTATACTTATTGTTACCGACCCGTGAAGATCCGGGCTAGAATAGGTCTTCAGCAACCCATGCCTGCGGTAAAAGGTGACTATGCTTGTAGTATGAGGCGACTAACGGGTTCGGGTTGTCAAGTCACCGACTTGGTTGATGTATGTCATCGTAACCCAGTTGCGTGTATCGATGATCATGATGTCATTTACTGGATTGTCTGGTCCAGATTCGATTATTTACAGACAGCCATCATATAGCTGGAATACTGCCAAGTGTGGCGTTAAACAACAAACATACAAACAAACATGTACAAATAACCAGATGGCGATTGTGAGTTTTTGATAATAAGTTGTTAGCTTGAAATATCATTCAAACTTATATCTCCCTTTTCATTATCTCCGTTTGTTTGGTCCCTAGAAAGAGATTATTTACAGACCACTCTCACAGAGCTGGAGTGTGGTGTAACAACCAACAAACTTTCGGAAACAGTGCCGCAAAATTCGCTTCAAAGGGGACACTGATGGCACAGTCGAATTATCCAACGTAGGCCTAGACATCAGTACAAATATTTTAATCTGACTTCATTTCGTCAAGCTGAACGCTTTACACAAATCAAACTGAGTGTCGCGAAAGACCAAATTCATTGATAAAACCCATAACAGGAGACAAAGCGACACGCCCTAAAAACAATGTCAATAGGGGTGTGACCACCATTTGCGTTGATACAGGCGAGGCAACGGCGGCGCACTGAAGACACTATTTCATTGAAAACAGCCTGGGGAATGTTCCAAATGTCAATTGAAGATTGGCCCGTCTGGTTCTGGTCCTGTCGTAGGCGTCGATCCTTCTCTTCACAGACATCTTCATCTTCCCTTGGCAAGGGAGTTACCTGACCATTAAAGTCCAGTTTTCACCCTTGCCGAACTAGACTGGAATTATGGGGTTATATTTAGGCTCGACTAACGGGTCTATGCATAGTCTAATCAAAATCGCGTTACGAAATCGACATCCGGTTCGTAAACTGCCATGCATATTTCGATCGATTGCAGGATTTGCACAGCATGTGTACCGTCAACAGATATTTTCCAAATCTGTTCATGTTTTTAATCAAGGTGCTCACGTTATTTGTTGCACTTCGCGAATTAAAACCCGTTTTATTACAATATAGATCTTGGTCATCGATCAGATCGTCTTCACTGAGCGCCCCCATTTTGTTTGAAGCAAATGCAAGTGATATGAGAGGTGGAATCTGATTGGAGGAATAGGAGGGCATAGAAGGAATATAACCCGTAATAGCCACTGGTGGCGCCACGGTCGAGCCCAGAAATTCCAGCCAAGTTCGGCAAGGGTGGAAACTGGACTTTGACAGTCAGTAAACTCCCTTGCCTCGAGAGGATGAGACATGTTCAATGGGGGAGAGGTCTTGAGAAACAGTCGGCCATGGCAGTATAGCAATGTTCTACTGCCTCAAAAACTCTGTTACAACCGGTTGCGGACGGTTCTACCACTAATTGCTCCCAACCCAGGAATTGTCCGAGCAGTTAATGTGGCAGTATTGTTTCGAAACCGTAGATGCACCAACCGAATATGGTTGTCTAGTTGACGTGACGTCACGCGTGGTCGCCCGGCCCGTGACAAGTCCTGAGTGTTACTCTGCTGTAGATATCGTCTCCAAAAAGATAAAATTGTGTTCAGATGAACATTAAAATGTCTAGCAACTTCTTTTTGTGCCATTTCTGTTTGCAGCATACCCACAGCGCTGATTTCCAGCAAGCCGTGGCATTCTGTAAGCGGTATCTACGGCTAAACAACAATGGGTAAAAATAGCTAAACAATCATTTTGTGCAGTTCACATTATGAAGCCACGTGTGTGAGCTAGTATCATGCTCCACACAAACACTCTAAAATCCAAATTGTACGGCGTGCAATAACATGCTGGTACAAACTGTGAATGACAACCTTAAAATCCTCATAAATTTACTATCAAAATAAATATATATTTATTGAACTTTATACAGTTACATTCTTCCGGCAGTATACATGGCAGATGTATGTAGCTAGTTTTATATAATGTCTATAGTATACCTATGCATAATTAATATAGTTAATGGGTGGGTGAGTTGGGTTCAACGCGCAACTAATATAGAATGCATGACGAATATGTGACGAGCTTGTTTGTTTTAATAAAGTGTTAAATTGTCAAAAATATATCGTTATTGTTTATGAATGTTTATGTAGAAGTTGCAGCATGAGCTTTCATGTGTGACCTCAGCGAAGTCAAGGTTATCCAATCAAAACGGATTAAATGAGTTCAACCTTGTATGACACACATATGACGTACGGGTTTATTATCTCATCACCTGTCTCTTGGCTTTCGCTCGGTCAGTTACCATAGAAACTCCACTCGTTTCCTAAAAATATAATTGTATCTGACGAGAATAAGTGCAGTATTTTCTTCAGATTGTCTCTAAGTTGAAAAGACTTTCCAATTATCTACATAACTGAGTCAATTGTTGCCTCTAATTTGAAATTTGAGTGAGTTGGGTTTAACGCCGCTTTTAACAATATTACAGTTTAATGTGGGAGGAAAGTCCGAAGGGATGCAGGTCTCAGACGTTTACCACTTCGGTGAAACCCACGAGCACGGGCATGGTGCTGACAAACCTAGAAACATAATCTGGGCGAACCGGGATTCGAACCCACAATCATAGGTTTCTAGCGTGCCAAAAGGGACGCAACTCTGCACAGCAAATCACGGCGCCTTGGACGACTGGGCCACCCGTGCCCCCGAAATCATTAAAGACCAGCCCTTTCGATGCATTTGCTGTGAATCATGATTTGGAACACGTCAGTTTCAATGTTTTTTCCCTATGACGTCAACTTTGATATTACAAACGTCACTTAACCGGAACACGGGTTTGAAATGAGTATCAAGGTATTTAATACATCCTATATTGTTAGAGTCTAGTCCATTGTGCGATTCCGACTATGTATATCTATCATAGGCTCGTTTTTTATGAATCACAGTCAAATAGTGATGATATCAGGTGTTCGCAAAAAGGTGAGGTTATCCCGTATTTTTTGAAAGCTTTACTAATTCCACGAATGTTGTAACCCCCTTATGAAACATTTTTTGATCAAACAACTTTTGATCAAGAGTCAAATGAAGACACATAAATATTCAGACATCGGTGGCGGACGACTGGGTTGTAAGGGCTATCAACGTCTCCGGGATAGCCTCTCCTGCGCCGCAACATCTGTTCCACAAGGCCACGCGGAGCCTGTACAGCCCGTACATGAGGCAGTGGACGAAGGGGGCCGCTGCTAGCGTCACCGAGAACACGAATATCATAGCAAAGCCAGGGTCCTCCGAGTAGTTAAGGACAGAATACACATAGGGGCGACCCAGGTGGTTAGTTCCCCCTGTCGACCAGTAGATGGCGGTGAACGCAGAGTAGGTCGTGAATAGGCACATACTAACGTAGAAATGGTGAATTCTGATTGGATAGCGAGATATAAACAAGTCGACGACAACAAGGGTGAGGTTGATGGCATGGGTGTTGGCGCTCTTGAAGTCCACGCCTCCACCTGGAACAGAAGGTGGAGATATAAAGATAGTAAAACAATTATTGATTTAAAAACACTAGTAACTAACCGACCTGAGATAATGGCTGATCAAAAATCCAAAACAACCAAACTTTATACGTCGATGTTATATATGGCTCACGGCGATAAATGTCAAAACATTGTAAATATAAATTAAACAATTACGCCAAAGAGTAACCAGTCTCGATTATCCGCCGAAACAGATTCCATTGGGCGTTAAAGGCAAAATAGTGGTGACAATTATATGAATGGATCACTGAAAATCAGTGATGACACCAGGTGTTCGCGAAAAGGGTAAGCAGGTCCTTCTCTACCGGCAGCACCCGCCATTCACACAATTTACTTTGGAAAAATGGTATCCACTGTGTTGGGAACTTTCATCTGTGTCGGACCAACCGCCAGTCCCAGAAAGCGATCTGATCATTATGACTGTCGTACGTCTATGCCACTGGGCCACAGCGACCCAGTGACTGATTCACAACACGAACCTTGACTTTCAATGGTGCGCCAAATGTAAATGGAGAATATTTACCTTGATACTCCACCGTCCAGAAGAGCACAGACACTATTGGGGCTGCTGCACACGTCAGCGTCTGTAATACCCACTGTAATTGTAATAGTCGGTCCGGCAGACGCAGACGATCTGTGGGAAGGAGAAATTTAACTCAAGTTGTGTGTTTATGCTTGGAATAAAACTGTTCGTCGAACGAACGTCAACAGGTGACCGTGGACCATGGTTGGGAGAGGATCAGGGGAGACAATCGACTGGTGTCAGCATGGGCGTGTCACTGTGCCCTATGGGAATGGAGGAATGGTCACGAGATCACATAGGTTGGGCTTCTCCGGACCTTGCTAACATTACTGATAGAGCCCATTAAAACTGATTCCCCATTTAAATAGCGTCAACTCCTTTCCTTTACACACCTCACGTGGTAGGGCGTCCGCCCAGAGTCATACCAGAAGACGTTAATAGATGGTACTTGTTGTTACCCTGGCTGGCGCTCGGCATTAAGAGGCTAAAACAAGGGCTGGTCGGCACGGAGTCAGTATACTGCATCTTCCCGAGGCAAATGAGTTCACTGACTATAAAAGTCCAGTTTCCACCCTTGCAGAATTAGGCTGGAATTACTGAGCTCGATCGCAGCGCCACCAGTGGCTATTACCAGTTATGTCCCTTCTAAGCCTCCCCTGTTGACCAATCAGATTCCATCTCTCGTATCACTTGCATTTGCTTCAAACAAAATGGCGGCGTCCAGTCAGGACGTTCTGATCGATAATAAAGATCTATATTGTGATAAAACGGGTCTTACGTCGCGAAATGCATCAAATCAGGTGAGCACCTTGATTAAAAACATGAAAAGATTTGGAAAATCTCTGCTGACAACGAGTTGGTGGTGCATATGCTTTGCAAATCCTGCAATCGATTGAAATCTGCACTACAGTTTACGAACCGGATTTAAATTTCGGTGCTTGATTTTGATTGGACTATGCATAGACTCGTTAGTCCAGCCAAAATGTAACGGGATCGGGTGTTCCGGCTCGCTGACTTGGTTGATGCATGTCATCGAATCCCAATTGCGTGGATCGATGCTCATGATATCAATCACTGGATTGTCTGGTCCAGACACGATTATCTACTGAGTGCGGCGTTAAAGAACAAACAAAACAAAAAATGATAAAAACGGCATTAGTCCGGACTAGTACAAGCAGACACACACATACAGACACAGACACACAGACATACACGTACACGCGCGTGTGAGATATAAATCACCTTTATCCTTCTGTCCATAGACATGAAGCCACACGGTGAGAGCTCGGATGAGGAAGCCAGTTGCCAGGATGTAGTATGACCAGTACGTCAGCCAGATGAAGATCTTCACCCCGTATTCATTGTTGATGGCCGAGTACACCACCACGCCGATAGTGTAGAGGCTCACGAGGCTTCTATACAGGGCGAACAGTATAGGCCGGTCAGTCCACTGTCAATACACACAGGAAGAACATATTACATGATATTCTATCATTTACCAGGGCCTCATTGTGTCAAGCTGTGTCAGCATAAAAACTTGATTATAATTAGGCCCCGGCCCCCTTTTCAGGAATGATCGCAGCACTACCATCTTCCCGAGGCAAGGGAGTTAACTCACTATATAATGTCCAACTTGACTTTTACAGTCAGTTAACTCCCTTGCCTTGGGAAGATGCAGCGCTTCTGTCCAACTTGTGATTTTCTTTCTTTGTTGATTAAGTCGCACTCAGCAATATTCCAGCTTTATGACGGCTGCATGTAAATAATCCAGCCTGGACCACACAATCCAGTGATTGACATTATGAGCATCAGACCCGTGAAGATCCGGGGTAGAATAGGTCTTCAGCAACCCATGCTTGCCGTAAAAGGCGACTATGCTTGTCGAAAGAGGCGACTAACGGGATCGGGTGGTCAGACTCGCTGACTTGGTTGATGCTTGTCATCGTATCCCAATTGGGTGGATCGATGCTCATGATGTCTTTCACTGGATTGTCTGGTCCAGACTCGATTATTTACAGACCGCCGTCATATAGCTGGAATATTGCTGAGTGCGGCGTTAAACAACAAACCAACCAACCATGAGCAAAGACGTAAAGACAAGTAATGGCCGGGCGTGAAGGTTGAGAAGTGAAGCGACAACTCCCGAGAAGCATTTCTTTCTGTTGATTGGTTTTAAACTTACTAATCACCCTCTCTATAGTTCGCGGGGGCACGAGAGGCCAAGCAGTCAGTCACTGACAAATGAGAATTTGACCGGCTGACCGTTCGCATCCCGGTACATACAGTTGACCACGGGAATAAACAACGTACAGTCAAACATCGAACACCAGACGCCATAAGTACTTCTCGGTTTACTGTTTCAAAAATAGATGCACGGGTGACCCAGTCTTCAAAAGCGCTGAAATTGGCTCTGCAGAGTTGAGTACCTTGGACAACGACAGAAACCTATGGTCGTGGGTTCGAATCCCGGTTCGCCCCGATAATGGTTCAAGGTTTGTCAGCACCGTACCCGTGCTCATGGGTTTCGCCATAGTGGTTAAAGTCTGATATCTGCATCACTTCGGGGTTTCCTCCCACATTAAGCACGCCGTGATAAAACGGGACTCACTCTATAGTTCGCATACTATTCAGGACCAATATAGTGTTAACAGTTCCAGTAGCGCTCTTCCTCTTCCCTTTGGTGAATATAGGCTCTAACCCCATCGTTGCAACACTGCCCCACTAAAGTGTGGATTATTGGTCATAATGTTTCTGGTTGGGCATAAAGTTAGAGTTATTTAAAAGATGTTATAATAATATGATACGACAATAAACACATGTCTATCAGCTTAATACGGGTACCCGTGAAGATCCGGGGTAGAATAGGTCTTCAGCAACCCATGCTTGCCGTAAAAGGCGACTATGCTTGTCGTGAGAGGCGACTATCTAAATCGGGTGGTCTGGTTCGCTGACTTGGTTGATGCATGTCATCGTATCCCAATTGCGTGGATCGATGCTTATGATGTCTTTCACTGGATTGTCTGGTCCAGACTCGATTATTTACAGACTTCCGTCATATACCTGGAATATTGCTGAGTGCGGCGTTAAACAACAAACAAACAAACAAATAATACGTGGAGGGAAAAGATGCAGGTGCTAAACATATAACACTTGGTGCAGATAAACCATGGATAATTGTCACTGGGACTGGGACAAGCGAACCATTATACAATTCACTGACTATGGCATGTTTATAATGTGATCGACCTTTTTGGGTCAGGGTGATCACGTGACATGGAATGTGTACTCCTGATGTCTGTCAATCAACACCTACATGACATACAAGTTGATACATGTCAATCACTGACAAATGAAATGTTTCATCATCTACATGGTAACTGAACTGGCCGACCGTTCACATCACGGTACATACAGTTGACCGCGTCACTAAAGAACATACAATCAAACATCATATATCATGCCTGACGCCACAAGTACTTATCGGTTTACTGTTTGATAAATAGATGCACGGGTGACCCAGTAATCACAGGCGCTGCAATTAGCTCTGCAAAGTTGTGTGCCGAAGGCGTTCAAGAAACCTAAGATTTCGAGTTCGAATCCCAGAGTCGGCTCATTATGATTTTTGGTTTGTCACTACCATACACTCGTTCTCGCGGGTTTCACCAAAGTGGTAGGCGTCTGGCATCTGCATCACCTCGAGCTTTCCTCCACATCAAGCTGACACGCCGTGATATAACTGGAATACTGTTCAGAGCCCACTCAAACCCACTCATTCACTCTTTAATAAACTGACAGATAGATGTCATAAGATTTCACATTGCTGCTATCTCCGTAATAATGTATTCATATCAATTAAGTTATACAATTGGTATCTTGTTACACTTTAGTAAGTGTAAATCTCGGATGTGACGATACGTTCTGTATGTTCAGATTACCCAAATGACGTTTAGTATGCACGTGTTTATTTCCGATTTCCCTCACGATACATTGACGGCAACTTTCCGTTCGACGTCCACTGACGTCCGTCCCTATCCTACAGTTCAGCAGTGGGGAGCGTCGTGCACTTGTAATGAGCGAATCAATCAGGAAGAGCAACTACTAAACCATGACGTGGTAACAACAGTGTGTGTCAATATGTACTCGTTCTAACAACGCAGTTCCTTTAGCTGAAACTAAACATCTCCGATTATACGAGGGCTGTTAAAAAAGTTCAACTATGGACCATTACAAAGTGAATAAGTCAGTGTAATATATTGTTTGAGTAGTTCATGTGTTTATGGTTTGAGTAGTTCAAGTGTATATGGCCTGTTGAGGTCGTGTGTGTATTAGTGACAGCCAGTTGAGTGAGTGAGTGGGTGAGTTGGGTTTAACGCCGCTTTTAACAGTATACAGCCAGTACCGAGCCGTCATCAAGTTTTTTACTTAAGAGAGAAGTACTCCCCAAGAACTTTGGGCAGCTATGTTTAAGGCTGGAAGAACAATCCTTGATGATGAACCGTTGTCTGTTTCAAACGGCCCCCAACTTCCATCAATGAAAATTCAACCAAAGAAATAGAAAACTTATAATGTTAGACAGACGTATTACCTTTGCTGGACCTGAGGAAGACACAGGCCCAAGTCATTGATCCATTGAAACTATTATTCATGAACATGTACAGATGAATAAGATATCTGCTCGTTGGGTGCCAAAGTTTCTAAATTCTGATCTTAAGGAAAAAGGGATCTGACACTGCCAGAAAAGTTCTAAGCTAATTGGGGGGATTGCGTCAAATTAAAAAAGAGATTAGTAACGGATGATGAGACATGGGTCTACCACTATGATCCCGAGTCATAACGTCAATCCAAGAAATGACAGCATTCCACTTCTCCCGCACCATAGAAATTCAAGTCTTTACGATCAGAAGAAAGTTATTGCCACTGTATTCTGGGATGCAAAGGGCGTGCTCCTTGTTGATTACTTAGAAAGTTAAAAGCGGGGTTAAACCCAACTCACTCACTCACTCACTCTCACACCTCTCGACTTGCAAAGGCTGCTGTGTGACAATGTTGGTTCGAAGAGCTTCCTCACCCTCCATACTTGCCAGACTTGCATCAAGTGATTTCCACCTGTTTCCTAAACTTAAAGAACACCTTCGTGGAAAGCGCTATGACGACCTTAGAGCTGCCGTGAATGGGTTTTTCAGGGTGGCTTCGAAAAACTTCTTCCTGACTGGAATTGAAAAGCTTTACTATCGATATGAGAAGTGTATTGAAAAGCAGGGAGATTATGTTGAAAAGTAAAGTTAAAAACACTTTCACAATTGTTGGTTTTGTTTGTAAGGCTTAGAAATTTTTAGCTCAGCCCTCGTAGGTATGAATTTGAACGCTGAAATTGTGTGTGGAATACCTGTATTTTTTCAGTCGTTCAATCAAGTTCAGTTCTTGTGTTCCTACCTTAGGGAGCATTTCATTTTCGGAGGGTGAGCGGGATATTTTCTATAAAAATAATCAAGCCTTAGCCTTCCTGATTTTTGTTTAAACATAACGCGCACTGTAAGAAAGAAATAACAAAATGCTCTTTAAAGTATCCAAAGGATGCAGGTAATTAATTCCATGTAGGAATATATAATTGAGCACCTAAACATTAAAGACAAAATGCTGATCTCAAACTACAACACCCCCCCCCCCTCCCCCCCCCCCCCCCCCCCACACACACACTCCATATACACCCCTTTAAAAATCAAATGCTCCCTTATAATGGCTGGATTTGGTCGGATGTAATCAAGTAATATTAAATTGTATGTACCAACTCAACCATATACGATCAATATCAACAAGACCAAAGATTACAGTACATAACTATCAATCAACGTTGCAATGCCCAAAACTTTTTCTTTATCTCGATCGCGTTACACCCAAAGCTCGTGCGTTCCTTAGAATACCACACATTCCACGAATACATTTCGTTGATCCGTTTCGAGCACGCGTTTATTGGTCAATGTTCTTGATTTATGAGCATTTTCCAAAGCTGTAAGTATTTAATTGGGCCTGTGTAGTACCACTTAATATCCCGCTACAGAGTATACACGTGTACAGATATATGAGGTGGTAAGTGAGTGTCTGTTGAGAAGGGAGGACTGTCGTGGCAGGTGGTGAAGGTGTTACGCGTGGGCGTAATCGGAGAACAGGTGGCTAGTTATACAACCAATAACTCAAACGCTAGCACAAAAAGTTCGAAGTCCAGTCCTTCTCACACAGCGGGAGATGACACTGATCCCGTGTTTTTGTGAAATTTTAGAAAAATATGTTTGTACTATTTTTGTCTTGCCATCAAACCTGTTATGAATTTTCACTACTTACTTTTATACTTAACACAAAATAAATTAATTAGCTTTTTTAACGTTGTTACCTGTGATAACTGGTGAATGTTACGTGTGTATGGTATCCAGTCCCCGTGTTGATTTGCCCCCACACGTGGCCCATGTTGCACGCGCTGTACCGAGGCAGGGAAATGGCGTGTGTGTGGTTATATACGCTCAACATAGCTAATCATGTCAAATGATTTCAGAAAATACCTGAAAAGCAAGCAGATATGTCCACGCGTAGCACACCCACGAGTGAATCAACATCTCTCATTTCAGGGGGTATTTTATTCAACCAAACATTTTATCCAAATGTTATTAACCATTGACATTACAGTCGCAAATGTCAGCACTTCGCTGCCATGTTTATAAAATAAATAGATAGTTGCGAAGGTGGTTGTGATATGATGACAGAAAGCTGGAATATGATGTGATCTGTGTGAGTTACATGCAGTATAATTAGTTATATGATGAATAAATATTTTCTCTGACAACCCCTCCCCTCTCTATTTTAATTATTACTGTCGAACTCTCCTCACAGGTACTCCTTCTTTCCATGTTAGTATTCTTGCCACTAGCTCATACAATCGCTACCTGAAATAATTCAATAATTTTCCAGAACCCCCCACCCCACCCCACCCCCGACCACATTCGCCTCCCCTGTCTGTAATCTCCCCTTCTTTTTTAAGTATTCATTCCTCTTATTTCTGTCATGTCAGCGTCTCACTATGACAAATGCACATTCCTTTGAAATAAAACACGCACCCAGACAATTAAGACAGCTGTACATGAAGTGACAGTCGACTCCATGGGTTGAGCGGGTTTATAATCCAATCTAACCCCATCTGAACACTTCTCACAGATATGGGACGTTTGTATTTCCGTATTCTGATTTTTTAATTTGTCATTTATCTTTCTGACCCAAATAGCCCCTCTGATTACACCCCAAAAAGTTCCTATCACCTGAGAGCTATCACGTGTACAGTATACGCTGTTATCACACTCGCAGTATTATTAATGGAGGAATGTCGACAAGATACTTGCTCTTCCTAATACCGCTAATGGTATATGTGTATACACTTGTTATTTCATAGCAATTAACAATACCCAAACTATTTAATAATAATTAAAAAAAATAAAAAAATAATATTAATAATAATAATGCTATTTATATAGCGCAAAATCCACATCGCTGAGGGACATGCTCAATATTTCCATTATCCTATATTACAATTTCACTCCACACACCTGAAATATTGCTGAGTGCGGCGTAAAACAACCAACCAACCAACCAACCAACCAACAATACATCTAGCTACAGTGTCGTTGAATATTCAATAATTCATCCGCCATTTTAACATGCTCTTTAATAAGATTAATAATATATAAAATGACAATAGATTGACAATTTTAAGTTGACCGTGGAAGCTGAATTACAGGTAGATCCATATCGTGCATTAAGACGATATGAGGAACCAAGTTGATTCAATTCAGTTAAAACCCATTTGGTATTTTACTTCATATTTTATATATATCAGTCAGTTATGAATAACCTAAGTACACGGACACAATTTATTAACATAACTACAACATTAGTATCTAGAAGCACTGAGATTGACACCGGCGACCGTGTTGTCTATTTTGAACGTACTTTTGTATACTTGCTTCTAATATACGTATTGATTTACCTGAGACAAGACGAATTCTGTTTTACTCTGTTCTTCTACATGAAATCCAAATAAGTGTCTGTGACAATGACAGGCACATACTGATCTTCTCTCCATAGGCACCGATATGTGAGGATATAGCCAGTAAAATCCACACTGACATATATAACTCATGCACTCTCTGAGTGGACCCTATTCTCTGTAAGGAGCTCTTTTATACCGATAACGTAGAGGCGTAGTGCAGAGCTCTCAGTACTCGTGTCATAATAATGCAAGGCTTGATATGGCCAATCTGACAAATACGGATCTGTTACTTATAAATCATCACACTAACAGGATGGAGGCTGATAACTGACGTAAGATATTCATCATATGAAGGAGATGTAGGAGGAAGCTACTTTTATATATGGGGGCAAATGAGATCATGTGAGAGCAATATGTCACACTGTACTCTACACCACACACGATAATAATAACAACAACGACGACGACGATAATAATAATAATAATAATAATAATAATAATAATAATAATAATAACAACAGGCTATTTATATTGCGCATATTTCCACACTATTCATTGGCTTGCTCAAAGCGCTATTATTACCCCGGTCACTGGATCAATATGCACTCAAGAATCATTCTCAGCCCCCTGGGGAGTATACAACTCTGCCTGTTAGGCGTTTATAGGTTATTACGATCTCATCCTACCGGGTACCCATTCACTGCTTTGTGAACAGAGGCAAATTTCGAACAAAGTCACTTGCCCAAGGAGACGCCACATGTGTTTAATGTGCTTCAGTGTGGGGCAGGACCGAAGCCTTTTAAATCGATTATATGTGCTTAAACGTTGCAATTTTATCCAAATTACATCGTTTAAAAAATATCTCAAGTAATTTAACAAACACTAAACATTCATGATAACAAAGATATGATGTAACTATCGAACCAGAACATTTCGACAAAACATAAACACATATTTTAAAAAACTGTCTTGCATTGTTTTAATGTTTCAAATAAATAAATATATTATACTTTGTAAACCTACTCTAATGTATTCTGACACTCTCAATAGTTCACCACGGTTCACATTAATAAAGGTAATTGCATCGGACATTATTTTTGTCACTGATGCGCCAAATTGGAAATGTCCTCCACATGTCTACCATAAAACATTTTGTAATACTTTACTGAGTCCCTGAACGTCGTATGACGCTCTTTGAAATTTCACTTCGACGAAGGAGATGATACGTACAAGAATGTATGGGATTGTATTTACATTGACACTTAACTCTTCTGCACATTGTGTGGGTGGCGGTTGCTACCGGTAGGGAAGGTCGTGCTGACCCTTTTCGCGAACACCTGTTGTCACCACTGATTATTAGTTCCACGTTCATCTTCTTTTCACGGATATCTTGACTTTTGCGCCCAACGGAATCCGTCTCGATCGATAATCGAGAGTAATTGTTGACGTCTTATGTTTATTCCAGCTGACTGGGTACATATTAAGTGTTTTCTGTTTAATGTGTTTTCTTCATTATTCAAGCCCATGTCGCATGTGATTCTTTTGTCTTATCTTTTAGCTTCACTTATCAAAGAAAACGTGTTTTTTTCTCTTATCCAGCATGTATAGCATGTGTGAGACCAACAGTGATTAATTTTCAATGTCTGTGAAATGCCGACTGAAAATACTGATAAAATGGCATTTATTAAGTAGCTCAGAAAACTACCTTTTGCATTTCAAGAACTAATGTTTCGAAAATGAATTTAACACAGTGAATGGGAACAACAGTGATTAATTTTCAATGTCTGTGAAATGCCGACTGAAAATACTGATAAAATGGCATTTATTAAGTAGCTCAGAAAACTACCTTTTGCATTTCAAGAACTAATGTTTCGAAAATGAATTTAACACAGTGAATGGGAACAACAGTGATTTATTTTCAATGTCTGTGAAATGCCAAATGAAAATACTGATAAAATGGCATTTATTAAGTAGCTCAGAAAACTACCTTTTGCATTTCAAGAACTAATGTTTCGAAAATGAATTAAAAAAACTGAAGCTATGGTGCCAGGCAGTGTATCTTTAAGTAATAATTGTGAGTTGAAATTGTTTTCATTCGACCTCAGCCTCATCATGATCTCAGCTAATAATTAGTCATCGGATATGACCCTAGATTCTGTCTTTCTATATTATAGATGTGGGCACTGAAGTAACTACTCTTAAAACATGTTTAATCCTTGTTAGATAATTCAAACGTGTTTTGATCCCAAAATATGTTTGTATCCCAAAACTTTTTAGAATTGTTTTAAATGCAAACACTTACCAATACCAAGTAACCTGGTGTATCTGCCGCGTTACATCAAAAGACGTTAAACGATGGTCCTTGTTGTTAATGCGCTCGGCATTCAGGGGCTAAAACAAGGACTGGTCGGCTCGGAGTCAGTATACTGTGTCTGAGTGGGATATTCATGTTCAACTGCGACATGGTATCTCAGCGAGCTAGCACTATAAATCGACATCAGTCCGGACTAGTACAAGCAGCCACACACACGTGTGCATGGACGTCGCTATATAAGTGCAATAATCTTGGACGCGACGTTAAACCCAATTTCACCTCACCTCCAAGTAAAACACAGATCAGTTCAGATTTATATATATAAGTACACCTCTAACTCGCTGTTGTAATTATCAAAGCGAAATGATACATTATTCGGAGACTCCAGTATTTATAATGTCTATATACATGTGTTAGATCGGACGCTATTTCTAGTATTAAAATAAGAATATTTGGTTGGTCACTTGAAGACTTAAATGGAATTGCACAACAATCGACATTTCTTTTCTGAATAATGCTTGATTTTCATTGCCCTGAGATTAAATTCCTCACAAGAACGGCAAGTAAGGGAGGTTTAAGAATGTTTGTTTGTTTGTTCGTTGTTAAACGCCGCACTCCATGCAGCTATATGACGGCGGTCTGTAATTAATCGAGTCTGGACAAGACAATCCAGTGATTGACACCATAAGCATCGATCCACGCAATTGGGATACGATGACATGCATCAACCAAGTCAGCGAGCCAGATCACCCGATCCCGTTAGTCGCCTCATACGACAAGCATAGTCGCTTCTTACGACAAGCATAGTCGCCTTTTATGGCAAGCATGGGTTGGTGAAGACCTATTCTTATCCCGGATCTTCACGGGTCGGTTAAGAATTGATGACACCATTCCGATCATATCGGATGGGAATAAAACACGCAAAGCCTTTGTTCTCTTTCAGGGACTTAAACATAACTTATAAAAATGTTTAGATAGTGATAATTATAAATATGTGACCTTTTCAACATATACTTTTTGTCAACACAACATATACACCATACACGCTGGGACTGGCAGTAAAACCATTTCCATGAAGATCGAGGAAAACAAAAACTTTCCCTAGATGTATAGTGGGCAGGAGTGGACCCATCTTCCCGAGGCAAGAGCGTCCACTATAGCCTTTCATTCAAAGTCCTGAAACTATAGGCTTAAATATAGGCTAGTGGATAACCTTGCCTCGAGAAGACGTGGTGGCCCAGTCGTTGGTTTGAATCCGCTCGCCCCGATTATGTTTCTAAGTTTGTCAGCACCATATACCCGTGCTCGCGTTGGTTTCACCAACGTATAAAACATCTTTCAGCTTTCTCCCATATTAAGCTGATATGCCGTGATATAACTAGTCTGGAATATTGTCCAAAACGGCGTTATATTAATCCTACGCACTCAGTCACTCGGTCTTGACATATAATTCTCTTGTGAGTGAGTGAGTGAGTTGGGTTCTACGCCGCTTTTAGCAATATTCCAGCAATATCACGGCGACACCCGAAATGGGCTTCACAGTAATTCTCTTGTGGTTTTAGTGTACATTCCACAACGTCTGAGGTACAATCGAACATGCACTTTCTACCACGATTTCAAAGAGCGTAGAACTGGTCCAAAGTTGCTTGATCAAGGTTCATAAATACAACAGGGCTTAAAAATAAAATTACAAGTAAAGCTTCCATTTTAAGGTAGACATGTGGAGGGCATTTCCAAATATGCAAATTTGACGCATAAATGACACCAATGATGTCAAATTTGTAAATTTGACGCATAAATGACACCAATGATGTCAAATTTGCAAATTTGACGCATAAATGACACCAATAATGTTCGATTCCCTATTTTGACTTGTACCATATGCTCCCGTGTTTCGTCATGTCGGCAAATGACTTGCAATATTGCTTCTGCGTGTGTTTGTGACGCTCACCTTTACGCGAACACTCAAATATTTGATAGTGATTCATAAACACATGCACATGATACAGTCGTAGAATCGTACAATGGACTCTGCTTTTGGCAGGGATTTCTTATGAATATGGTAAAATGTTTTTGTCGTTTTTATTTATACATCCAAAGAGAAAAAAGAACGTCGTTTCCGCGAGCATTCTGACCGGAAACTGATGACTGAAACGCAACCAAAATAAGGTCATTCTAAAAATAGCTGTCACATGATGAAACATGGCGGTGCAAATGAAAAGTAGACGAGAATGCAGGCTTCTGCTATTTCTATCTTCTGTTTGCTTGTTTTGTTCAGTTGATGCAAATGATTGTTCCTCAGGCCTAATGGGATACGACATGCTAAATTTGACTGGTGCCAGGTAAATCAACACATTTGCATAACGTCGATTGCTTTCAGCAGGATATTCCCAAGATATTCTCTGTTACAGAGTCCGAATATTACGGAAGTTTTGATGTAACAGTCGTTCTACCACTTTGCCTTTTTACTTAACTCACCTATTAATTGTGGTCATATGTAGGCAGTATATCCACCAAGAGGGCCATTATATCTCATCTAACTCTCGAAACAACGACCCCAGTGCAGCAGATCTGACCACTGATTGTGTTGCTATCTCCATAAACAATTTGATTTAGTTTCAGTTGTTTTACATGAAATACTTGTCTGCTTGTTGTTATAAGAATTTGGAGTAGTTCAACTTGTTCTGTAAGTGAGTGGGGGCACGGGTGGCCCAGTCATCTAAGGCGCCGCGATTCGCTGTGCAGAGTTGCGTCCCTTGGGCACGCCAGAAACCTATGATTGTGGGTTCGAATCCCGGTTCGCCCCGATTATGTTATTATGTTTCTAGGTTTGTTAGCACCATACCCGTGCTCATGGGTTTCACCGAAGTGGTAAACGTCTGAGACCTGCATCACTTCGGGCTTTCCTCCCACAATTAAGCTGACACGTCGTGATATGACTGGAATACTGTTAAAAGCGGCGTTAAACCCAACTCACTCACTCTGTAAGTGAGTGCATATTATTGATTGGTGCAGCCAAATATTAATGTCAGCAGTGAAGTAAAGCTCACATGATAGACAGCTCTTTTACCATGTTTACTATCCTACATTTATTGGTCTCCAGTCCAATGACATTGGAAGAAACTAGGGCTGGGAAAAGTCCAAATTTACTACCCAGGTACCTGACACCCTATTATCCGTCCCTACCCGGGTACCTGCTGTTGGTCTCAAGAGTTGGGTACAAAATGTCAGATTGGGAATTGTTTTAACAGAGCCCTGTTAAAAGGTATTTAGATACACGTATACCAGAGCCCTGTTAAAAGGTATTTAGATACACGTATAAAACAATCTATGTAGTTATGCATTGTCTGAGGTTGACGGAAGCTTTATCTTTATTCAAACATGTGTGCATAGTCAGAAAGTTATTTGTAGTGTAACCATGGAGTTATATTGAGTTTTCGTCATTCAACAATGTATCACATGACTATCCACGGGTCCGGGTAGTCCTGTGGATACCCTACCAACCCAAGGAACCTGAGTTACCTGTCCCAGGCCTTAAAGAAACATTGGCAACATTGCAGTTTACTGGCACCAGCTATATACATGATATGGCCAATCTTTAGGATTAGCTGTTATCATGGTTATGGGTATACAATATACGAAGGTATATACTAGAGGTTAATGATATGGTGCCAGGGGTCACAATATGATATGTATGAAGATACTGTGGGTGCAATACGATTTGTATTTGTATGGAGGAGTAAATATATACTCCTAAAAGTTGTGTTCCTCATAATAAAGAAGTTGACATCCATAAATTCTCTTCCTCATTGCAATACATGGGTTGTAAATCAATGTATTTTAGAGTGGGCCTTGTTTGGCGACACAATACTAGATCACCGCATCGTCACACCACTAGTATATACAACGATGATATTGGTTACTCACAGCTGCGAAATCATTGGGATGTACTGCTCCATGTTTAATATATGATATCTACTCATTGCTGACAGTAATATCATGGATGAATAGCTGTAAATTTGAGGATACAAAATGTTACCCCTTACAATCATTAGGGTTAGGTACCCTTATCATTCAAACACCCCTTGCCAAGCCTTAAAGTTACTTGTGAGTTTGGGCTACTTATTTCACTTCTTTTAATAAATGTTTTAGAAAGTAATCCACCAAGTGTAACCCGAGTTAAATCAATGTTTTTTTAATCAAGGTAAAAAGTGAATGTCATCCCTACTGTGCATAAGCTCATGACTCAATTGTGTTTGTGCACATGTGGTGTAATCAGGAGCTGATCATTAGGTAAATGTGCACTCATATGCATCATATGCATGATAGCACCTGTGTTTGTTCTTATGGTCGGGACCCGTGAAGATTCCCGGGTAGAATAGGTCTTCAGCAACCCATGCTTGCCGTAAAAGGTGACTATGCTTGTCGTAAAAGGCGACTAGCGGGATCGGGTGGTCAGGCTCGCTGACTAGGTTGATGCATGTCATCCATCCCAATTGCGTGGATCGATGCTCATAATATATATCACTGGATTGTCTGGTCCAGACTCAATTATCTACGGACCGCCGTCATTTAGCTGGAGTATTGCTGAGTGTGACGTTAAACAACAAACCAACCAACCAACTTATGGTCGGTGTTGGCCGATATTATAAGCTCCATTGTCTAGCCCGCCCAGCTTCAAGCTTGCATTTAAATACATTTAAAAATGATTCCACACAAACAGACAACATTCCCAAACTTTGTGTTGTTTTATATGAGACCTTGTGTGTTTATGTATCCATATATGACAGTCAGTGTATGAAAACATTGTATCCCAATGGATCGATGCTCATGATGTCAATCACTGGATTGTCTGGTCCAGACTGGATTATTATACAGACCACGGTCATATAGCTGGAATATTGCTGAGTGCATCGTTAAACAAAGATAAACGAACAGTATGAATATATATATTAAATACCATAAAATGAAACTGGTATGAATGATATGTCATAGTATGTTCAATTTTAGTTTAACACTCAAAAAGACAGATGATATTTTTTTATACCAATAGAGGTAATCCTGTTGGACATCTTTGGCAAGTAGTGTTCTATCACTGATCACTGAACAGGGGGCACGGGTGGCCCAGTCGTCTAAGGCGCTGCGATTCGCTGTGCAGAGTTGCGTCCCTTGGGCACGCCAGAAATCTATGATTGTGGGTTCGATTCCCGGTTGTCCCGATTATGTTTCTAGGTTTGTCAGCACCATACCCGTGCTCGTGGGTTTCCTTGAAGTGGTAAACATCCGAGACCTGCATCACTTCGGGCTTTCCTCCCACATTAAGCTGACACGCCGTGATATGACTGGAATAATGTAAAAAGCGGTGTTAAACCCAACTCACTCACTCTTTCACTGAACATGCTGAAGGTTTGGACTTGCTTGTGTTTTCAGTTCATGGAAATTCAGCAGCAATGGGACAAAATGCGTGTCAAATGGAACTGTAGTGGACTGTGTGAGTGAAATGTCATTCTGCCAACCCTTGACAGGAAGCACAAGTTGTCAAGATGCTAGTGTTTGTCAAGTCAGTGTCGGCAATGACTACAAATTGGCTGGTTTCTCAACGACACCATTCACAACATTACCAGACCGTGAGTATGACCTGAAACTTAACTCGTGCCAGTTACTGCCGCTGCAAGTGTGACCATTTACTGTTATTCAGGTCATTCATCAAGACAATGTCATCAGTTCATACACAATACAGAGGTCTTATTTCATTGTCTGTACCTAAAGTGAAATACAGCCAAATAACTTTTAATCTTTAGCCAAAATATTATCTTTGTCAGTAGTGCAATTTGTCGCATCCTCCATAGTTGTCAGCAGTCCGTTTTGATTTATTTTTTTAGCTGACACTCAGGGATACAAATGAAATTCTGGACAAAGCTGTGTAGATGTTTGATAGATGTTCAGCTCACTTGCTTGTGTTTGGTTCTCAGCTTCTCTTGGGTTCAGGACCAACTTCCCTCTCGGTGATGACTTTACCCGCAATAACAGTACCTGTAAGCTGAATACCACCATCAATTTCCGATGCAATTTACAGAAGCCTTGGCCAGCAGGTGCAGGCCAACAGAAGGTTCCATATGAACCTGAAATTAAGTTCATTGCTGAGAAATGCCTGGTAGGTTATACTGGAAGTGAATATACACACAATCAAATCTCCAAATGATCCCCATGGTATAATATTATCAACAATTTATGGATGTCAACTTCTTTATTATGATCGAGGAACACAACGTTTCGGAGTTTATACTTACTCCATCAGGTGAATAAATGCTATGAAGCAGAGAACAGATATATGTGCCTGTAAGAACAACAAAAATTAATAAGATAACATAGGTGGAAACTTAACAAGGGAAGCCAACAGATAATTGGTGCTGATAGGAGATTAGTAATGGACAAAAGGAAAGGTTTGGCTTCCTCATAACAAAGAAGTTGACATCCATAAGTTCTCCTTCCTATGTGTATCGCTTCTAAATGCCTTTCAAAGACTTAACTCTCTGTTTGTTTTGAAAAAGAGCTCGATATCAGTATATGTATTCCGTAATGTTTTCATTGCGGCTGTATGTGTGTGTCTGGGGTATGATACATATACAGTCAAGTCCTGTTAATCAACATGGTTGGTTGCCTATGATTATGTCAGATTATTGAGTATGTCGGATAAACAAAATTAAGTAGTATCAACGTTCGTGATCGAAAACTGAACAGCTACATGATAGATAATACAAACACGAATAATAAAATATTCATGTTGTTATGTTATATTGTGAACGGAATATGTTTTCTATTCATGCAGGGGCGGTCGGGTAGCCTAGTGGTTAAAGCGTTCGCCCGCCACGCCGAAGACCCCCGGGTTCAATTCCCGACATGGGTACAATGTGTGAAGCCCATTTCTGGTGTCTCCCGCCGTGATATTGCTGGAATATTGCAAAAAGCGGCGTAAAACCACACGCACTCACTCTAATCATGCAAGCTCTAAAGCTTAACACAAATCTACAGTTATGAGCTGTATGACTGAATCAAAATACAGTAAACAATGGTTATAACAAACTTAAAGGGACCACTAAATCTAGTTTGTAATAACTGTAGTTCGTTATAAGCACATGTACAGCATAATAACAGCAAATGGACGAGGCAAAAAAACAGTTTGTTATATCCCTCAGTTTGTTATAAGTGTGTTTGTTATAAACATAGTTTACTGTATGTTAAGAAGCGAAAGTCTGGAATGGAAGTCGCCAGTTTGAAACTAGTGCCCGCAAGCTCAAGAAAGCTTCACATTTTAGTGGCTCATGTTGACTTCCTGTTAGTCATTTCATTGGTCGGTCAAAGTTCCTAAAGGTCGTTCTGACATGTGTCGGAGTGCAAGAGTCCAGCGTTAGAAATTGGCACTAGTCCTGTAGTCCTTGCCAAACTGCCGAATAGTTAAGGTATCCCTTTTTAAGGGTCTTACTATATGTAATCATTATAAGGACTAGTGGACTAAAACTGTTAGTTTCTATCGCTGGAGACCAATCTATTTAGAACTGATTCAATCGGTTCCCATCATTTGTGTCAGATATAGCTGATTGCCGGATTAATGAGACTTGACTGTAGTTAGTTATAAGAGTGTTCATTTTAAACATAGTTCACTGTAATAACATTGATATTAAGCAAATGAAGTTAACTAAAATTAAACATCGCATTCAATATGATAAAAAAGTTGTATATCCATAGAACTCTCTGACTTGTACAACTAAATGTTTTTGCAAACACAGCTTAGCACAAGTTAGAATTTATATGAATTATGATGTAGTAATGAGTAACATGAGTAATGCAGGATAAGTGTACAAATGCAAAAAAATATTTAGATTTTACTAATATTGTTAAACATGTTAAAAGTGGGGATCATTTCAACTCACTCGCTTTTTATTGAATGAAATAACCTTGATCATGTGAATTGTTTCTTTGGCAGTACAACGTTACATTTGATTTTGCTGGAGCATGTCTCAGAAGTATTCCTGCAACAGTCACAAACCAAATGAGCGCCGGGTCGGTCTTGGTTATAATGTAAGCTGTGGATCTCTTGACCATTTTGTCATAGGATAATAAGCATCTTATGATTTCCTTGTCATGCTTATAGACAGTTCATGGTAGAGCTTTATCAATTTCATTTCTGTCTTCTGTTTTTGTAATTATGGCAACATAGATTTCCACAATACCATTTCCCAAAATGATCATAACACCATAATATGTGGAGGTTTTGTTAGTTGTGAGTCTTGTGACCATGGTGATAATCATTTTGTGGAAGAGGGTCATGGACTGTTTTGTTCTGACAGCTTGTATAGGCCAGTGCAGTTGATTGCATATCAATCCATGGCTTTCATGTTTTCCATGTGAACATGAATTATTTTAGAATGTACCATAAAAATGATCAAGAAATAGTCACACAGCCAACGTCATCAAACAGAAAATTAAAATAGATTTCGTTCCATTGAACTGTTTACTGAAATGCAAATATATAACTGATATGCTGATGTTTAAATTGATATCAGGGGCGGTGGGGTAGCCTAGTGGTTAAAGCATCGGGTTGTCACGCCTAAGACCCGGGTTCGATTCCCCACATGGGCACATTGTACATTGTGTGAAGCCCATTTTCCAGTGTCCCCTGCACATGATATTGCTGAAATATTGCTGAAATATTGCAAAAAGCGGCGTAAAGGCACTCACTCACTCACTCACTCACTCACTCACTCACTCACTCACTCACATTGATATCATTTCAGATTCCTCGTGTTTATGGTTTCCTACTTTGTGTTTGGTGCCATGTGGAATATTGCCTGTCGTGGGGCCCGAGGGAAGGAGGCGGTGCCAAACCTCGAGTTTTGGACAGATCTGCCGGTGTATATTGCTGTAAGTTATTAGCAGAGATTTACCCTGCTGTAAATAATCCTTCATCTTGTTTAGGACTTAAGATATTTTTTTACACTCTGTACGCCATTGAATTGTAACAGCTTTCAAAGATAATTCAAATATACTCCGGTTAATGTACAAGTCACCATGTTGACATCACCGAGTCAAGAAAAATGTTGTGATCTTTAGAATTCAACATGTTAATAAATAAATAGCTTCTAAAAACAAATCACCTGAAAACATCCGAGCATCACCATGGTCAACACCCAAACAAATTGATCACGCACTGTAACCCCGTGCTTGGCGACCTACACGACCTGATCACGTGATTACCCCTGCCATACCATTCTCTTTCTCATTGTCACACTGTGGAGATGTGCTGTGAGTGTTCAGAGAATACATTTTGTTGTTGTTGTTGTTGTTGTTGTATTAACCACCAACGTCTTGCGGACTTTATGTTAATGTTTGAAGGAAGTTGAGTACAGCTAAGAAACATTGCCCGGCCTGTCTTGAGTGTAGAAATATCTTTTCTACTTCGGACCTTCAGAAATTATGCTGTGACTGTCATGCCGTGGCAGAACTGACAAGCGCTCCTGTGTGCCCATCTTACGGAAGAACTCTTCAATGGTTATCTACACCAGTGCCACAGACAGGAAATTGACCGGCGCTTGAAATTTAGGGACTTGGAACATGGGCCATCTTCGCCTAAGAACTCAACCAAACCGGCTGTCTCCACTTTGTCAAACCACCTCTGGAATCCATCTTGCCTGCTTTATCAGTGGCCGATGACAGCTTTTCTTAAAGTTTTCTTTCAGAAGAATTCCCTTTCCGTGCTGGTTAAACAGTCCGTTCCTGATGCGTCTGTGCCTCCGTTGGAACAACCATTTACATCGGATGTTCACAAGTTTCCCTCTTCCGTTGAATCATCCAAGCCTGCTTCAACTACTTCTGGTTGACCCTCTTATCACTCCTTGAACGTCTGTCACTGCTTGTGTGTTAGGCAGACGCTCCCTTTCATTACCACTATCTTCTTGACAACTGAGGCCATTTCAACTTTGGTGTTCCACGCTAAGTTTCATGAACAGGCTTTAATTTGAGGATCTTGTCATAATTCAGGATATGATCGCGACCATCTTGCACCTTCTCTCCAATCATGCAAGACCGGCCACAGACCTTCACACTCGACGTTTCCAACAATGTCAGTGTGAAGATCCCTTTAAGGTGCACTTGTACCAGCATCCTAGGTCAGCTCGGTTTCTCTTTGCAAACCAGATGCAAGGGATCGAGCAGGACATGACATGTGACTGTCGATCTCCTTTGACTGCATCTAGAGGAGCAGCAGAAGAGAGAGTGACGATGTCCCCAGTTTTATTCTGCCCAGTGTGATGTCATTCATTCTCCATCTCAAAGGATGGCAGCAATTCTGCCAATGCAGGCAACATTGCCTCCATATGACATACATCAACTTCAGGACAACGGGGAACATATGTCTCCAGATGTACCCATCATAGACTCTCCGGTAGGCAGAAGATTCAGTCTCTTTGCAGCCAATTGGTCCATCCAATTGAAGTTTAAGGGTTCCACATTGGCCACCTATCTTGCTGCGATCAACTCCGGCATAGCTACTACAACCAGATGGAAGATTTCTCTGGTTGCTGAGCTACAGTCCCTCATTCGGTTCTACATGTTAGCCGACCAGCCATCCCATTTCAACTTGCCAACTTGGGATCTCAACGTCATTCTCAGTCATTTGACTTTGGCTGAGTATATATGAAGCGCTTGCTGACAAGGATTTTGAGTCGATCACCTTCAAGACTGTCTTTCTTCTTCGCCCTTGCTACTGCTGCACAGATTAGCGAAATCCCTGCTCTGGATGTTAAACAGGGTCCAGTTTGAGAGGTTACAGAATGTGAAGATTATTCTGGGCATTTGTTGGGATTTTTTTCGTGAAAAATCAGCTTCCAGGACAACCATATCGGCTGTTTACCATCCCATTGCTGGCAGCCATCTCGAGCCCTGAGGACCCTGAAGATATCTCTTTGTCCGGTTCAAGCACTCTGAATCTACATTGAGGCTGCGAGACCACTTTTGCAATCCCGGAAGAGACTATTTCTACGGTGGCTACAATGGAAGTCTCCCATACTACAGTCTCCTTTGGCTTCGTTCGAAGATCCTACTGGCCTACACCTTCTCTGTATTGCCACCCCCTGTAACATCCAAACCACATGAGACTCAAGCCGCTGCCTCTTCCATGGCCTTGCACAGCAACTGCATCCCAAGGCTCTCCGCCATAATGGATGGGTGCTTCTGGAAGTCATATATGGTCGTGGCTTCCCACTGTTTCTGTGACTCACTGTCTCGTGTATGTCTCACGGTTGAAGTCTACTACTGGCTGGGGCATTTGCATCCCATCATCCAACCTTGGGATATATGCATAGTGGGAGATAGGATATGTACCTATCTTTATCACACACACTATTTGCCCTCAAATCCCGGCATCACAGAAACTAGCCTTTTAGCTGTAAGAAAGAGAATGATGTGGCAGTAGTGTTCACATGATCAAGTTGTGTAGGTCGCTAATCACGGGATTACAGTGCATGACCCTTTGTTTGGGTGGTAACCATGGTGAAACTGGGATGTGTTCAGATGATTTCTTAGAAAGGTGGAAACTGTTCAAGCATGTTGAAAAAAATGCATCGAGTGAGATAGGATAAGTATATACACATTAAACAATTAAATGCAAAATTTACAAAATTACTTCCTGTCCCATAATTTGTTAAGGCTGGCAGGGTTTGTGAAGACCGGATTACTAGTATCAAGTCCAGTTGTAGTTGTGACATTGGCATGATTTTTGAAGTCATGATTTGACATCCAAATATAAGTCAAGTGTTGTTTTGTTTCCTTGTTCACAGATCATTCCAAGGTCAAATCCTTATTTCGGAATGTTATGATGAACATACAGAAAATAAATAAGATATTTCAGATATTCTTTTCTTCTTCAAACATTATCGAACTACGTTGCCATGTGAGCAGTGCTTGTTGGGTTGTCTCCTTCACCTTGCTATTAAACCTACTGTACAATTTGTCAGGATGAAAAGGTAGGGTGTTTTTTTTAATAAGCATAATTTTAGGGCTGACAGAATAAAATAAAAAATAAGTCTCACCCAATGATTTTAAGTGTGACATTTGTAGCAGATCATGGAGTCATCCCACAAATGACATCCTCACCTTGTCAGCTTGCTGATGGGGTTAACCTTCTTTGTCATGTGGACAAGGTGTCCGACCTCGGATGAGAAGGTCCGTGGTTCAAATCCTATCACGGGACTGGGAAATTTTATGGCCTCTACATTGGCCATGAACGTGGGGCTGCGCACGTACACATTAGATTGGAGCAAAATAAGTTTCAATACCCTACTATTGGGTCCGGGACGTGCCTTCTGTTGACAGTGGAGTATGTAGCAGGGTGTGGAGTCATCCCACAGATGAGATCCTTACCTAGTCAGCTTGTTGACACTTTGGTCACGTGGACATGGCGTCTGACCTCAGATCAGACGGGCCGGGTTTCGAATCCCATCATGAGAATTCTATGTCCGCTACATATTTATGAAATAAGGAAATTGATCCAGCTATCAGATTGTGTCATATTTTCAGAGAAATAACTTGCTTCTTTTGTTTCAGGATGGGTTTTTATTTACATTCCGCTGCGGTCAAGTCGAATCTTCATCGTATGAGAGTATTTGAGAATGCTGCCTGTTTTGTGAAAGAAAAGTGATGTTGGCCTGTCAAGAAGATGCTCAAGCAAGATGGTCATTTGACAGGAAGATTATGGTATAACAGGAAGCAGAATATTATATCTATGAGAAGTTATTCTGCTAAAATCTCACCCAGTGACATTCTGTGATAAGACGAATCAATCTCCAAACAGCAATATGTACAAATCTGTTGGAAGATAATACACTTCAGTTACACAAACACATACCACTGCCCCTGTGGAGAATACACTTCAGTTCCACAAACACATACCACTGCCCCTGTGGAGAATACACTTCAGTTCCACAAACACATACCACTGACCCTGTAGTGAATACACTTCAGTTCCACAAACACATACCACTGACCCTGTAGAGAATACACTTCAGTTCAACAAATACATACCACTGCCCCTGTAGAGAATACACTTAAGTTCCACAAATACATACCACTGCCCCTGTAGAGAATACACTTAAGTTCCACAAATACATACCACTGCCCCTGTAGAGAATACACTTCAGTTCCACAAACACATACCACTGACCCTGTAGTGAATACACTTCAGTTCCACAAACACATACCACTGCCCCTGTAGTGAATACACTTCAGTTCCACAAACACATACCACTGCCCCTGTAGTGAATACACTTAAGTTCCACAAATACATACCACTGCCCCTGTAGAGAATACACTTAAGTTCCACAAATACATACCACTGCCCCTGTAGAGAATACACTTCAGTTCCACAAACACATACCACTGACCCTGTAGAGAATACACTTAAGTTCCACAAACACATACCACTGACCCTGTAGTGAATACACTTCAGTTCCACAAACACATACCACTGCCCCTGTAGAGAATACACTTAAGTTCCACAAACACATACCACTGACTCTGTAGAGAATACACTTCAGTTCCACAAACACATACCACTGCCCCTGTAGTGAATACACTTCAGTTACACAAACACATACCACTGCCCCTGTGGAGAATACACTTCAGTTCCACAAACACATACCACTGACCCTGTAGTGAATACACTTAAGTTCCACAAACACATACCACTGCCCCTGTGGAGAATACACTTCAGTTACACAAACACATACCACTGCCCCTGTAGAGAATACACTTCAGTTCCACAAACACATACCACTGACCCTGTAGTGAATACACTTCAGTTCCACAAACACATACCACTGCCCCTGTGGAGAATACACTTCAGTTACACAAACACATACCACTGACCCTGTAGAGAATACACTTCAGTTCCACAAACACATACCACTGACCCTGTAGAGAATACACTTCAGTTCCACAAACACATACCACTGACCCTGTAGAGAATACACTTCAGTTCCACAAACACATACCACTGCCCCTGTGGAGAATACACTTCAGTTACACAAACACATACCACTGCCCCTGTAGAGAATACACTTCGGTTCCACAAACACATACCACTGCCCCTGTGGAGAATACACTTAAGTTCCACAAACACATACCACTGCCCCTGTGGAGCATACACTTCAGTTCAACAAATACATACCACTGCCCCTGTAGAGAATACACTTAAGTTCAACAAATACATACCACTGCCCCTGTAGAGAATACACTTAAGTTCAACAAATACATACCACTGCCCCTGTAGAGAATACACTTAAGTTCAACAAATACATACCACTGCCCCTGTAGAGAATACACTTAAGTTCAACAAATACATACCACTGCCCCTGTAGAGAATACACTTCAGTTCCACAAACACATACCACTGCCCCTGTTGTGTGCCTATGGTAAATACTACAGGACAAACCACTTGGTGACACTGATAATCCTGATGTTCATTTTCCTTTTAGACTGTTGAGTATTGGTTTGCCCAGGCGTTGGTGTACAAGATGTTAGCTACTTCAGGCCTATTTATGACAAGGTGTATGGAATTAATGCTATAGTTTTTCTAAATTCTTCAGACATTTGGTGACAAGTTAGTTTATGACACTTGTAAGATGACCAGACCTGTAATATCTGACATGGGGATAAGGATGAAATACTTGTAAATAAGGGACAAAGCCCTGTCCACATTCATGTCTTCCAAGATGTTGGTGATAAAATCTGAAATTTGCAGTGTATTTGAGAACTGTTGTGTATGTGTTGTAAATACTCCCTCACTTATGTGCCTTTATATCACTGTGTGCATTGAGATTCTGAAAATATTTTCATAATTTCATGAATCTATGGTCAATACAGGACAGCAAGTTAGGCACGGGAAAAACATAGGAATTAAGTGAATGAGTTTGTTTCCTACACATTAGTAGCATAGCTGGCTTTCGCTATTGTTCATGTTAATCGTGCATTAGGCATAGTAAATGAACATATGACAAATGGATTTTGATACATATCCAACTATAAAATAGCTAGATTTGGGGAAAAACAAGTCCCTTTTGGGGTTCATTAGTCTCAGACTAACGGACTAGTGACCGTGTGTGTTGATATATCTAAGTTGACAGTTCCGTTAGCACTTTGACTGCCATATGAAATAACAGATCAGATTTCATGATAGAAACATTATTTTACTAATTAAAGTGTGTTTTTTTCAATGTGTTATAGGCAGTCACAACACTAAAGAGTTTTGACATCTTGAGAATTTAAAAAAATATTTTTGGTACCAGGTATATTATCTCAGGAAAGTTTGTTTGTCATACAGACATTAAAATCATTGTCATGTTTGTTCCTATTCATGTTTTTCACCATGAAATCCTCTCTGTGTGTTATGCAGATTCTGTTCTAATGTTCGAGTAATTCCATTGCTACTGATAGGCATTATATTTGTTCATTGGTTTACAAAGCTTGTGGCCTTCAATTCAGTGTGGGTGGTTTGGGGATAAAAATCATTGAGTCATTGAGTCTCATCTACCATGTCCACCTTTACCTTCCCCCCCCCCCCCCAAACAAACAAAACAACCAAAAACTATCACAATTAATGATTTACTGCTGATTGTGATCAATTCCGCCCAGCAGGCTCAGTCTGACCCAGAAACAGATTGTTGTATCAAACTTTACATGGCTAAGTGACATTGTAGGATGAAGTTGACGCGGATGATGCAGAGGGTTTAATGATCTCTATTTTGCTATGCTTGCCTGATATAGATCTTTTCGTGTGTTTGATTATGAAGTAATATTTTCAGCACTGACATATTTGAGTTTGAATATTAAGGCAAGACCTTTTTATGTGATTTACGGAAAAATTAATCTGAAAAGCACTGTTATATTTTGCTGAACATGCTGAGTGCATTGTCACCACAGGAGCATAGGGCCCACAGTAGGTTAAACTGCAAGACTGATGTGACAGGCTTAACTTTCACAGCAGTATATTCAGACTACTTCTCAAGAACCAACATAATAATCTGAAATGTGTTTTCTTATTGTCTGTTTCCCTCCCAGCCAGGATTTTTCACATAAATATCTGCTTACCAAGAAATATAAAGACGTCGAGCCGAACCTGTTTATGTATTTGCAAGTTTATGTATCCTGCTACAGTGTAACTGTACACTTTATTCAGATGGGGACAATATGTCATAGTTAAGTGAATCCCTGTTAATCTTCATGACATAGTCCAAGATTAACATATATTATACCCACAACCTAATAGGGCAGGGGTATATAGTTTTACCAAGGAATTCTGTCCTTCATGTCCTTCCGAGGACATTTTTGTGTGTGTGACCTATAACTTGAAAACTACTTAATAGATTCTTTTCAAATTTGGTGGACACTTTTTATATCTATAGGAGACGTGCAGTGCGAAGTTTGATTTCAGTATTTGGATTTTCTGAGAAAACCCCCCAACTTTATTTCATTTTTTTACTTGGACTGTTTTTACTTAAAACATTTGTACGATCTATAACTTGAAAGCTACTTCATGGATTCTTTTCCAATTGGGGTTACAGTTTCTATAACAATAGGAGAGGTGCATTGCAGGTTTTGTTTTCAATGTTTGGATTTTCTGGTCAAATACAGCTATTTTTCATTTTTTAGCTAGAAAGTTTTTACTGAAACATTTGTGCAACCTATAACTAGAAAAGTTTATTTTCTGAAACACATATGATTTTTTTTCAGGTTTTGCAATTAGAAATATGTTGGGAGACGAAGACGGGGGTTTTAGTGAGCCCTGGTCACTGTTTGTCTTGTTTGGATTTAGGAATCCTGGATACAGAGTAATGTCCCTTTGATTATGTATGACTGTATTCCTGCTGCCCTTCTTGGGTTTGCATTAACAGAGTTCCACTGTACATAGCAGATTGTAAAGCATTTGTCATACTTCAGGATGCAGTCAATGGAAATTGAAATAAGACTTTTGGTGTGTAAGATACCCCTGGAAGGAAGTGCTGATTGATTATCATGGCTTAATATAGGATCATTTCTGTATATGAAAACAGTATTCGTTTTAGTTAATGTAGGTAGTTTATATTCTGTGGAGTATATTTGACATGTTTTATGTTACACATTATCTTTTAAAGTATGCTTTTAAGTGTATGTTTTTTATATGTTCATTGAATATTGAATTTGCATAGAAAGAAGATTGAAGATGGGACACATGCATCAGACTCTGGTGCGCCTGGTCCAGATTGGATTATTTACAGGCCAATGCAATGTACCTACATTATTGCTAACTTTGGTGTAAAACATCAAATAAACAAAGATTATGTTTAATTATGTCATAATTTATTTCTAGCAATTATGTAGGCATGGGAAACGTGGAGATATGTTTTGTTTATGATGTTTGGGCTATGTCTGATTTTCACATGGTCTTCTCATCAGTGACCGACATAGTCACAATGCAGTGACATACATCATCCAACAGTGGATGATATCATCCAACAATGCAGTGATATCATCCAACAATGCAGTGATATCACCCAACAATGCAGTGAAATCATCTCTCTTCTCCCCCCCCCCTGCGGAAATGAATGATTGTTGACTAAATGAAATTGAATGTATGATGACTGAAATAGTTGATTCATGCTGCACATCCCACGGCTGAATGATGACGCTAAATATGTGGAAAAAGTTTACAGTCATAGACTATGGAAGCCAAAGCTACTAGTTACCTGGGTAACAGAAACAAGTCAATGCATTCTTTTAAAGAATTTTGCATATTTTAATGTACACTTAAATGACATTAACCAGATGATTTCACCTGATAATAAATAAATTGTTTGTTCTTTATGTTAAAGTATGGGAGTTACAATCACCTTCGTGCTACGTTACCATTGTGGAATGGATTCCTTCATTTTAAAAGTGACCGTTGTATGGCATTGTATTAATATGTGTCAACTTTTAATGTGTTTGAAGTATTATTCTGTTAAACTCAATTTGATTGTGTTCTGGATTGCGAGATGTCCGCCTATTTACACATGACAGTGAAGTGTTTTAAAAAAAGTTATAAACAGCAAATAATAAATAGAATACTAAATAAGCTCCTGTGTAATACCAATTTTGTGAAACGAGTGAATAGTTCTTGTATCTGACGAGCGAAACTTCAAATATGACTGTAGTTTTTGTAACAATAACATATTCCTGACATGATCATGATGATGGAGCCTAATGACATTATTGGTGGTGGTGGTGTTAGTCAGGGGAAGAAAGTCTGAGAAATAAAGGGTAAAACTACATTACTTAAAAACACAATCTCATTGAATTCAGATCTTTTACTTTGATATGATACCACTTCATGGAAAAGATCTTTTTTCAATGAGATTGGTTCCAAAACTACAATGGATTCTGTTTCAAAAGGGCTTATATTCCAAAAAATGTAAATTGACCCATTTAAATTTGTTTTTGAATTAGCTACAGCTTACTATCTGTTGTCTTTTAAAAGTTTGACTTTACATACCTAGAGCTTATACGTTGACATGATATCCATTCAACAAGTAATTAAACAATATTTGTACAAATGTTTGATTTGAAATGTGTTTAATTTATATCTAGATGCAGTTGGAGTGTGTGGATGTCCATGGTATGAGGGATTGTTGCGAAGTTTACAGTCTATACTGCTATTTGTAATTTATCTAATGTAAGGCTTGTGTATGTCTTGGTATGCCCTGTAAACAAGTCCAGCTGTTCACCTTCTTAGCTGTTATATTATATGTGAAGGTTTTTTTAATTGGTCAGAATAAAGCTTGATTGTAAAAAAGTGTATGTTGTGTCTATAAATTGTTGAGAGAACTGAAACGTTCAATGTGCTGTTGAGGGTGTCTGATTGCCAAATGAAAGAGTTATCTCCCTTTCCATGCCAAGCACTTTTGGTTTGTTTTTTTATCACTGAATAATTATTTTGTTAACATTTGTGAAATTCAGCAGATCCTTTTACTAAGTAATATATAACCTGCCACACATTACCCTTCATTATTCAGTGGGTGTGGTGAAGTCCATGTAACTTTTGAATGTAGCAGTTTACTTTGAACTTTATGATAATCCCACACTACACCAGCTTGCAGTGTTTGTGTTTGCACAGGATTCAGAAGGGTATCGATGTTTACTTGTGTCAATGACATCTTTTTCTATATCACTTTGTATTAAACTGGTTATATTTTCATGATTTTGTAAATAAATCATTCTTATGCGCAAATGTTTTGTTGTTATTTTGGCTCAACTTGCATCATCAGAGTGATCATGGTGTAAATGTCACCTATTCATCTCTTGTCAAGGGGATTGGGTTTGTGAATAAAAGTGACAAAATGCTTTACAGAGCCTCAAAAAATCTCTGCTAAAAGCAGAATATTTTCCACTTTTGCGACTGTATTTCAGCATGTGTTGATGAATCACTATAAAATATTGATTATACCAGCTGTTCGTGAAAAGATGATTGTATCCTGCACCACTGGTGGCACTCATCAGAAACACATGCAAAGGCGTGTCAATTGTTGACCTGAAGAAATGTGGGAAATTGATACAAAAATATGAGCAAATAGAGTCAGTCTCAAGGTTCATGCTTTGAGATATAACATTTCTGATATGGGAAGAAAACATCATGGCATATCTCCATGGCATGGCATGGCTGCCATTTATGATCACACTATTAATTTCAGTGACTGTTGTATTCCATTTGATTGATGGAATCACATAGAACTTGGGACATGATGGATATATGTCATATTAAAGTAATCATTCAAAGTGTGAATTTTGTTATGTAATTGTTCTCCACAATTAAATGAAGGTACTTTACACATAGTAAACATTAAGTGGAACAGCAGATTTGGAATATTTCAAGTTCATTGTTTTTTCACTAATTGTTTTTAGATAGATATTTGATGGAGGCTGTAAATTTCGCAATACAAAATATGATGATTAGAGATGTTATATCTTGGTATGATCTGTCTGTCCTCTAAAAGTTGATTTTATTGAATTTAAAACTTTTTTTAATATATAAAACATTTTGACAGCCATCTGAATTGTCCAGTATTGTCACTGGCATAATTGCAATTAGTTTAAGAATATATTAAGAGAATGAAAAAGCCACAAGCCTGCCACTGCCGTCACTTGCTTGACCAGTACCTGCAATGAACAGTCACGAACATTAACCGTTACACGAAAGATTATACTGTCGATTTAACAGTACCGTAAATAGTCACATTTTTTAGCGAGTGATTCATTTGATTGCTCGCAAGTTACCTCCCTTACAAATGAGTTTGTGGCGAAATGAAAGCGACATGTTATCATGTCGGTTTGAACGTGCTTTGAACAGGTACGATGTTTTGACAGATAAAGACAGTTAATTAATTATGAACGATTCACTTTGTAGACCACATGTTATAGAGTGTTAGAGAACACACCGTGAACACTATGTTTCAAATTAAATTCGTTTGTAGATAGACCTTCAATTTTCGTGCACACAGTGCTTTGTGTTTGTAATTCTGGTTAAGATATTGTGAATACATTTTAGATGATATATACATGACTTAGCGACATTGTCACACATCCACTGCGTTTCACCTTTGAAAACCATGGCTCCATTTTGCAATATGTGTTCTGGTCCACGGCAGTAACAACAACACATGACTTGTCAACAGTATACATCATGCATGGTGTTTACATCATTCTTCATATCCGCAACTGTTCTAACAAGTTAGTGCATTACGTATCCCCTAAAACAACGTATTTTATCACCAACCATATCAAAACCAGGCTATTGTTCTATCAATTCATGTTGGTAGATATCATGTAGGTCTGGGACGAGCTCAAATGTCTACACGGATACAGGTGATTGTTAGATTGGGAATTGTTTAACTCAAGCCCGGGCAAAAAATATTTAGATACACATATATAATGATCAGGCTATACATACACTGAAGTTGATTGAATCATCATCTAATTCAAACAAATAAAAGTCGTCAGAAAGAAATGTGAACAATAGTGACTTGTTCTGTAACCATGGAGTTATAGTGAATTTTTGTCATTAAACAATATATCACATGACTAACCACAGGGTCTGGGTAGCCCTGTGTGTACTTGGGTCCTAACAGTTATCACCCGAACAGAGTATCCACTCACCACTTACTGAATGATCCTCTTGTCCTCAGTCTGGATATACTTGGGGGCTAAAAGCACAAAGCCCTACCCCAGAATTATCCCTGAACACTCCTTGTAAAAAATAGTTCATTGGCACTACCAGGGTCATGCAGAGGTCATTAGCTAACCTCACAAAAGTAAATCTATGTGAAACTATCAACCAAATATTTACAGTATTTCAGGACTCCATAAAACCTAGCCATGGCAGGTGATGATATGGAGATTGAGACATTAAAGGCAAAGGTCCTGGAACTGGAAGCTGAGCTCTCAGCAGTAAAGCAGGAACTAGAAGATGCCCACAAAGAAATAGAGAAAGGGGCAAAGGCTTTGGAAAAGAAAAAACGACAGCTCGAGACAGCCAATACATACAATGATGATCTTCGTGAACAGATGACAGCCTTGAGTCGGGAGATTCAGGACTTCCGAGACAAACGGCGAACTAGGAAGGAGATAGGGCTCCAAGCAGTTGCAGAGGAGATTCTTACTGGTATTGACATGACTGACTGCCTTATGAAAGTTGTGGGTGGGTGTGGTGTGAAATGGGTTTTAGGGAAAGTAGTGAGTAAGTTGGGTAGAACACATCTTCCCCAGGCAAGGGAGTTCACTGACTTTAAAAGTCCAGTTTCCACCTTGCTGAATAGGCTGGAATTCCTGGGCTTGATCATAGTGACACCAATGGCTGTTACAAGTTATGTCCCCTCTAAGCCTTTTGCTATGGACCAATCAGATTCCACCTCTCATATCACTTGCATTTGTTTCAAACAAAATGGCTGCGCCTAGTCAAGACGATCTAATTGAGAATCAAGATCTATATTGTGATAAAACGGGTCTTACATGACGCAGTGCATCAAATCACTTGAGCACCTTGATTAAAAACATGAAAAGACTTGGAAAATATCTGTTGACGAGGTGGCCGTAAGCATGCTTTGCAAATCCTGCAATCGACCGAAATCTGCATGACAGTTTACTAACCGGATTTCGATTTCGTTGCACTAGTTCTGCAAGGGTAGAAACTGGACTTTTATAGTGAGTCAAAGCCCCTCGGTAGATGGGTAGAACACCAATTTGAACAGTATTGTTGTATATCACAGCATCAGGATAAATATAACAGAAAATAAAATAAACAACTGATTTGTTCAATCAGCACTAGTTTATCAGCTGTTCAATGTAGTAGAAGGATATCTACCAGTACCACTGTTTTCTTGTTCTGTAAGTTATCTGATGTACTTGTGTCATGTGCGTTCATTGTCTTGTGTGTATATTTTCCACAGAGCTAGGAGATAAGCCACTGCCAAGTTGGGAAAATGGAGGAACTACCACACTGGTAATTTGACTAATTTTGATCACATTGAGCATGTTTGGTTTTGTCAACAGTATGGCAATGGTCCCTGTGGGGCTCTGGGTTAGATTTGTTCCCCAGCAACCTGTGCTGGTTGAAAGAGGTGACTTAATGGATTGGGTCGTCTAACTTGGTGACTACGTATTTGCGTGTCTTCGAACCCTGAAGGGCTGGATCGTTGCATGCTCACAATATCAATCTCTGAATTGTGTGGCCTGGACTTGACTGTCTACAGGCCGCCATCATAAAGCTGGAAGATTGCTGAGTGCAGCATTAAACAACAAACAAACAAACAAAAACCTTTGTCAACCTGTTTAAACATGATAAAGTCATAATTCTCTGAGTTTTAAAATACACTTCATGCTTGTCTGCTTGACATTTGTAGCTCCTCCGCGCTGCAATCCAGAGTGAGTGAATCTCATTGCCTGTGTAGTGAGTGAGTATGGTTTTACGCCGCTTTTAGCAATATCCCAGCAATATCACGGCAGGGAACACCAGAAATGGGCTTCATACATTGTACCCATGTCGGTAATCGAACCCGGGTCTTCGGCGTGACGAGCGAACGCTTTAACCACTAGGCTACCCGACCGCCCTCATTGCCTGTGTAAATATTTTAACTCCTGGAACACCTTGACTAGTGAACATGGTGAATCGTTGCATTCATAGTCAACTCATTATGTTACCTCAATGTGTGACCCGTGACAATCCGGGTTAGAATAGGTCTTCGGCAACACATGCTTGCCGTAAAAGGCGACTATGCTTGTTGTAAGAGGCAACTAACGGGATCGGGTGGTCAGGCTCCCGGATTCGGTTGCTGCATGTCATCACATCCCAATTGCGTGGATCGATGCTCATGATGTCAATCTCTGGATTGTCTGGTCCAGGCTCGATTATTTACAGACCGCCGCAACAAAGCTGGAATATTGCTGAGTGTGGTGTTAATCAACAAACAAGCAAACAAACAAACACATCTCAATGTGTACTGATCCAATGTGGCTGCCATGGTAGTATGTCAGTTCCAGTTTTGATGGGGCTGTCGGATAGCCTAGTGGTTAAGGTGTTTGCTCGTCACGCCGAAGACCCGGGTTCGATTCCCGAATTGGGTACAATGTGTGAAGCCCATTTCTGGTGTCCCCCTCTGTGATATTGCTGGAATATTGCGAAAAGCGGCGTAAAACCCTACTCACTCACTCCAGTTTTGATTGTATTCTAAATTCATGAAAGACATGGACATTTCTCTTACTTGTGTTTTTGATGGAGTTGTTCTGTGTTTGTTACAGGAGGGCACAGACAAGCCAGTCTCTATAGCAGAAGCCCTGAAACTGACGGCAGAGGCAACTCTGTCCCAGTCAGGGTTTGTGTTCGATGACGACAGTGGACTCTACTATGATTACAACTCTGGATACTACTACAACCATGTGAGTAGGCTTGCATTGGAAGAATCCAACAGTGGCATGCATAGCAGAGTTAGGATACGACTAAATTGATGATCGGATCTAACCTGTCTACAATGGTCTTAATGAGGCTGCATCTGTAAAGATCCGGGTTTAAGACCTACGTCTTCATCAACTCATGCTTGCTGTGAAAGGCAGCTACTAACGGGATCGGGGAGTCAGACTCTGTGACTGGGTCAGTGCATTGTATCCCAAATGCGTGGATCGATGCTCATGATGTCAATCACTGGATTGTCTGGTCCAGACTCGATTATTTACAGATTGCCATCATATAACTGGAGTGCGGTGTTAAAGAACAAACAAACTTAAAGAGACTAACACAGTCTGTGACTTTAGCCACTTGTCCAAATCTTAGTCTAGTAAAATGTATTCAGATCTAGGAAGATCAGTTTAGGCTAATCTATCTACCAAGATTAAAATCTGCTGAAATATTACCAAAATACTATCGCAATTGTTAATTACAGTCCGTTTGATTCCATTTGAGACCGCTGAATTGCTCACTTACTCAAAATCTAATAATTGCAACAAAACCAAAATGTGCACAGCGACATGAATTGGACAGACCAAATCTGATGGTTTGTCTCATAATGTTGGACACCCGAATAAAAAAATTGTTTAACAAACGATCATCATATTGTTGACATTTTTCGCCATCCCATACCAGGGAGGACCAGTCGCTCATAGAACAGACAGGTGGGCGAGTTTCATGTGCGAAAGTGACGTAAGGCTTGCTGAGCAAACCATAGATGCGTGATTGCTATATCTGAAACAATGAGAACATCACTCGACGCGAAGTCAATTATTTGCAACGTCTACAATTTTTTTTAAAAGAATGTGAAAGAGGTAGACCACAATATGCTTTGAAAAAGTATCGTTTACGAACTGCACGTGCAGTTGGGATAACAGAAGGGAAGTTAAAAACTATGTTCAAAAAGTGTACTAGCTAAGACAGCTGCCTAGGTGCTAATACTTATAAACTGGAAACAAGCCATTCCAGCGGTGAGAATATTACTTGCAAAAAATTGCAAAATGCACTTTTCAAGAATGATGTATTTTATAAGTGATAAACCCCATCATTGAGTTTTGATCACATGGTTACAATCTGGGTAAGGCTCGGCAGTCAGGTGACTGAGAGCAGTTATATTTAGCAGTGCGTTCATCGCGAACTAGTATAGGTCAGTTGTGTATTATTATTATTATTATAATTATAATTATTATAATAATAATAATAATAATAATAATAATAATAATAATAATAATAATAATAATAATAATAATTATTATTATTATTATTATTATTATTATTATTATTATTATTAATACTATATCTGCACTAAGAAAAATTCTACTGACTTAGAGATGGACTTGTGTTGTAACAAGAACCATGCCTGTGTTGTAATTGCGATGGTAACTGTAAATCTGGATAAGAATTTGAGCAGAGAAGTTTCATGTCCTGGTTATTTTTGCAAAGTGAGACCCACTTTCAACAAAGAGAGGAAGGACGCATCCTTCCTTAGTCACTTGCACCCATTGTGTTGATCATCACAGGAGCAAGGCCTGTATAACACTTGTGTTCCTTATCACAGGAGCAAGGCCTGTATGGCACTTGTGTTGATCATCACAGGAGCGAGGCCTGTATAATACTTGTGTTGATCATCACAGGAGCAAGGCCTGTATAACACTTGTGTTCCTTATCACAGGAGCAAGGCCTGTATGGCACTTGTGTTGATCATCACAGGAGCGAGGCCTGTATAATACTTGTGTTGATCATCACAGGAGCAAGGCCTGTATGGCACTTGTGTTGATCATCACAGGAGCGAGGCCTGTATAATACTTGTGTTGATCATCACAGGAGCAAGGCCTGTATAACACTTGTGTTGATCATCACAGGAGCAAGGCCTGTATAATACTTGTGTTGATCATCACAGGAGCAAGGCCTGTATAACACTTGTGTTGATCATCACAGGAGCAAGGCCTGTATAATACTTGTGTTGATTATCATAGGAACAAGGCCTGTATAACACTTGTGTTGATCATCACAGGAGCAGGGCCTGTATAACACTTGTGTTGATCATCACAGGAGCAAGGCCTGTATAACACTTGTGTTGATCATCACAGGAACAAGGCCTGTATAACACTTGTGTTGATCATCACAGGAGCAAGGCTTGTAAAACACTTGTGTTGATCATCACAGGAACAAGGCCTGTATAATACTTGTGTTGATTATCACAGGAGCAAGGCCTGTATAATACTTGTGTTGATCATCACAGGAACAAGGCCTGTATAATACTTGTGTTGATTATCACAGGAGCAAGGCCTGTATAACACTTGTGATGCTTATCACAGGAGCAGGGCCTGTACTACGACCCAGCGACTGGAACCTACTTCTACTACGAGGAGGCGAGTGGAGAGTACAAGTTCCACTCCCAGGTGGAGCCACTCCAATACACGTGTCCCCCTAGCCAATCACAGCCCAGGAATCCCACAGCAGAGCCCTCTGGTAGCAAAGAGAAGGTGAAGAAGAAGAAGAGTAAGGATAAAAGGAAGAGAGAGAGGGAGGAGACAGTAAGTTCAATCTGGGAGAACTAGTCTTGGTTTTCTGTAAAGGTCAAATGTATCTGTTGATTCTATTTGTAGCCTCACCTGTAACAGTTTGGCCAAGAAATTCATTTTTTTAATAAATGTATTTGATAGGAGAAATTATATGTGTAACATATTCATAATGTTTCAAGAACCCCAAGGGGTTTTTGGGGGGCAGATTAGATTACTAGTAAATCTGTTCGGTATAAGAGCTTACCAAATAGAGGATAGCAGAGTATGACACCATACGACACCCCCTTAAGAAAACCATAGTTGATGATAATTAGCGTGTTTGACGATATTCTTAGTCAACTTCTGGAACCATCTCTGTCAGATCCGTGGAGACCCTGTTCTTGTCCTGCTGCTATTTGTGCTGTTACCTCTGTCTTTGTATTTCTCCAGATTCCCACCAACCAGTCCGACGTGGACGAAGTGACCTCTGCCCTGCACAAACTGGAAATAGAAAACAGTCGACAACAGGCAATAGGTAAAACCTAAACCTCACAAACTCTTTTTTCTCTTTCAGGAGCAAAGCAGGAAGAAAAGGAAAAAAGAAAAAGATGACAAAGAAAAATCCAAGTCGAGGAGAAGGAAATCAGAAAAAAAGAAAACAAAGAGAAAGAAACATAGATCGCATCACAGAAGGGGAGGCAACTGTCGTGGGTCAGAGAAGGATGATATGCAATCTGTTGAGGAGCCAGGGTCTGACTCTGGTAGAACCAGTAGACATCATGGGGACAAGGAGAGGGGTAGGAGGGAGAGGATGGCTGATAAAGATCGGAAAAGAAGTAGACATTCAAAAGGAAGGAAGAAAACAGTAATGGAAGACTCAGGAAAATTAAGTGATGCACAAAAGAATCAACCCGAGTCTGATGTTGAGATGGGTGAAATTGTTGAGTCTTCTCAGGAGCCACCTGATATGAAGTCTGTGGAGTCTTCGCCAGAAGGAGTGGTGCATCTGAGTGATGGTGAAGTGTTGTCGGACAGTTTTGCCTCTGGGAGGTGTGACCTGGAGCCGGGGGAGCTGACGTCAGATACAGAGTCCTCCTCCACCCTCTCCTCCATCAGTGAGAGTAGTGTGGAGGAGGAGGAGGAGGAGGAGGAGGAGGAGATCATAGAGGAGGAGCAGGAGGGTGGGCAGCATTGGTTGTCATGGTGAAACTAAAGTTAACTGCAGAACCTTTCTGTTGAAAAGTTCTCAAAGTTTATTGATATATATAAATTTATATATGTGAGCTTAACACGTTTCTTGTTGAAGCGTCTTTTTATCATTCAAGTAACAATTATGCCATCAACATATTTTTGTGTATTTTGATTTGATTGAGTATCTTATTCAAGATGACAGCCACTTTTGTAAGGGTGCATCATACATAGCATTGCCTTGAGAATGGGGCTTGTGCAGTACACCCTGTCATGACACACACAATTGAAACGACCGCCTGTGGTCTAGTGGTAGAGCGTCTGCCTGCGTCATACCAAAAGACGTTAAAAGATGGTAGTTGTTGTTGCCCTGTCTGGCGCTTGGCTTTAAGGGCCTAAAACTAGGACTGGTCGGCTCAGACTCAGTATACTGTGTCCGAGTGGGGTATTCATGTTAAGCTGCGGCATGGTATCTCAGTGAGCTGGCACTATAAATCGGCTTCAGTCCACCAGTACAAGCAGAGAGAGTCACCTGACCTTATCGCAACTGAAACAGACAGATTGTGTCTCACCGTTCCCTGATGATTGGTGTACCTGGCCCGGACTTGACACATCTACAGCCTGTGGGGACATTGCTTGGAAATAGCTGACATGGCATTAAATAACACCCAGTAACTCAATTGTCATTTAGTTGTGTAAAAGGCGACTAACGGGATCAGGTGGTCAGGTTCCCTGACTTGGTTGATGCATGTCATGGTATCCCAATTGCGTGGATCGATGCTCATGATGCCAATCACTGGATTGTCTGGTCCAGATTGGATTATTTACAGACTGATGTCTTATAGCTGGAGTGCAGCATTAATCAACACACAATCAATCAATTATTTAGTTGTGCTCCAATACCTCAGGTACAGCCCTGCTTGATGCCTCATTGTCATGTTCCTGTGTTCCATGTCAGAGGTCTCCACCAACTGGCCGCCCTGTATCCGCGTGATGGTCACAGAGTCGGACTGTCTGCCTGAAGCTACGCTGTTTATTGTCACCTGTGATGGCGCCAGCATTGGCCGGGAGAAGGACATGAACAACCTCATCAGAATACCTGACATCAATGTCAGCAAGGTAGGTGTCTGATCTCATATCTTGTCTCAAGGTAGGTTTCTGATCTCACATATCTTGTATCAAGGAAGGTGTCTGATCTCACATATCTCGTCTCAAGATAGGTGTGTTATCACAAATATCTTGTATCAAGGTAGGTGTCTGATCTCACATATCTTGTCTCAAGGTAGGTGTCTGATCTCACATATCTCGTCTCAAGGTAGGTGTCTGATCTCACATATCTTGTATCAAGGTTGGTGTCTCATCTCACATATCTTGTATCAAGGTAGGTGTGTTATCACATATATCTTGTCAAGGTAGGTGTGTTATCACATATATCTTGTCTCAAGGTAGGTGTCTGATCTCACATATCTTGTATAAAGGTAGATGTCTTATCACATATACCTTATCTCAAAGATAAAACCGAAATAAATACACATAATTACATATTTTCTCAGCACACCAACCCATTTATATCGAATGACAATACATATTCTTGAAGATTTGAATCACGGTGTACTTGTTTACCAGTAATACTGTGCCGTCTTATGTGGGAAACCTCAAACCTTTTTCTGTTAAGGACACTGCGCAAGTCCTAAATTCTTTGGCCTTAAATTTAGTTTTGTCAGGTCTGTAACTATCATGATTCAACTACCTTCATAGCTTGGCTTGATCTCTGATCTCAAGTATCCTGTGCTTGTTGCGGATGACTTTTACTGGAGACGCCATGTCAAAAACAGCTTCCATTATCATATGTTTTGCTTATCCTGCATTACTCCTTAATGCATTTACTGCTTACCTTACGACAAAGAAGACAGCGCCTTGCTTCCATTAACGCTACTGTGTCCTGGGGCGGTCGGGTAGCCTAGTGGTTAAAGCGTTCGCTCGTCATGCCGAAGACCCGGGTTCGATTCCCGACATGGATACAATGTGTGAAGCCCATTTGTGGTGTCCCCCGCCGTGATATTGCTGGAATATTGCTAAAAGTGGCGTAAAACCTCACTCACTGACTCACTCACTACTGTGTCCTTACAATTTCTCACAAGTTCCTGTCCAGCTGACTATCGTCTGTGTCAACACCCCTGTCACTCAGCACTGTTATTGCCAGTTGTCCTGACTTACACACTTGCCACTGACACTCTAGACAACAGCTGAATGAGATCTTTATTTACAGGTGCATGCTGGGATAACGTATGACTACAACCTGCAGAGTTATGTCATCACCGATTCTGGGAGTCAGAACGGAACATTCCTCAATGATGCTCGAATATCACAGGTCAGATTGCTACAAGTTGTGACATTTTGACGCATGTTAAGCTTATCATTATGCTTATGTTGTGATAATTTGAATAAAACTGAAAAAAATCATTCTTACACTGTAACCATGGTAACATCGTTATCCATGGAAACAAAATAAGAGATGTGTACTGGGATTTCCGAACGATGAATATTGTATTCAGACTGTAGGAGTGGATGGTGACCTGTCTAAGTGATAATGTTATATCATGGTATTCTCCCCTGAAGGTGAAGGCTGAGGGTACAGTGGTATCACATGGTGATATACTTCAAGTGGGCAATACGACACTGTCCCTGCACATCCACCCTGGCAGTGACACATGTGATGAGTGTGAGCCAGGACAGGTCCTGGGCAGGCTGCAGGCCGAGGAGAAGGCTAATCGAGGTCAGTGTAGCCATTGTTGTGTTGAGGTCAGTGTCTGGCCATTCATGTGCCAAGGTCAGTGTCTGGCCATTATTGTGTCAGTCATTGTTATATCGAGGTTAATGTCTGGCCATTGTTGTGTCGAGGTCAGTGTGTGGCTATTTTTGTGTCTGGGTCAGTGCTTGACCATTGTTGTATTGAGGTCAGTGCCTGGCCGTTGTTGTATGAAGGTCATTGTCTGTCTATTTCTGGATTGAGGTCAGTGTCTGGCCGTTGTTGTGTCGAGGTCAGTGTCTGGCCTTTGTTGTGTCAAGGTCAGTTTCTGGCTATTGGTGTATCGAGGCAAGTGCCTGATCGTTGTGTTGAGGTCAGTTTTTGGCTATTGGTGTATCAAGGTGAATGCCCGGCCATTGGTGTGTCAAGGTCAGTGTCTGGCCATTCATGTGCCAAGGTCAGTGTCTGGCCGTTATTCTGTCTAGTCCTTGGTGTGTCGAGGTCAGTGTCTGTCCGTTATTCTGTCTAGTCCTTGGTGTGTCGAGGTCAGTGTCTGTCCATTCATGTGCCAAGGTCAGTGTCTGGCCGTTATTCTGTCTAGTCCTTGGTGTGTCGAGGTCAGTGTCTGGCCATTCATGTGCCAAGGTCAGTGTCTGGCCGTTATTCTGTCTAGTCCTTGGTGTGTCGAGGTCAGTGTCTGGCCGTTATTCTGTCTAGTCTTTGGTGTGTCGAGGTCAGTGTCTGGCCATTCATGTGCCAAGGTCAGTGTCTGGCCGTTATTCTGTCTAGTCCTTGGTGTGTCGAGGTCAGTGTCTGTCCATTCATGTGCCAAGGTCAGTGTCTGGCCGTTATTCTGTCTAGTCCTTGGTGTGTCGAGGTCAGTGTCTGGCCGTTATTCTGTCTAGTCCTTGGTGTGTCGAGGTCAGTGTCTGGCCGTTGGCGTATTGAGCTCAGTGTCTGGCCTTTGTTGTTGAGGTCAGCTTTGTGTCAGTGTAATTGTCTTGTCTTTGGTGTGTCAAAGACAGTGTCGTGCCATTGTTGTGTCAGGGGTTAGTGTTTGGCCAGTGGTGTGTCGGGGTCAGTGTTTGGCCCTCGTTTTTTCAAGGTCAGTGTCTGGTCATTGTTGTGGGTGGTCAGTGTCTGGTCATTGTTGTGGGTGGTCAGTGTCTGGTCATTGTTGTGGGTGGTCAGTGTCTGGTCATTGTTGTGTGGTGGTCAGTGTCTGGCCATTTCTGTATTGACGTCATGGTCTGGCCTTTTAAATGTTGTGTTTCAAATGTGCACTTTGGAGTCTGGATGCTACTCTGAGTTGAGAAAGCTGTGCTACACCAGCATGTGCAGTCACTGTCATAGCCCCTGCATGGAGCAGTCTGATGGATAGGACAAGTAAAACTGTGTGCTTTGTAAGAGATTCTACATAGTGACAAATAGGTACAAAAGTGCACAGATATTTTGCTGAGACAGCAAGGATCATTCCCAGGGCAAAACAGGCATTCAAACACATCAGCTGATCTTGGCCTAGACATTTGCTGTATTTTAGACCACTTGGCTAACTGTGCCTCTTCTTTTTGAGGGACTTGCCTAGTTTTGAAAGCAAAGAACCACATTGATCAAAATAATGGTACAAATATATCCGTGTAAGATACCTGATAAAAGTTGGGAGGATGTCTGTATTGTTATTGTATGATATTGGAGATTATGTAGGTCAGCTGGCATTGTTGGGATGAGAGTCTTCAAGTAATGTGATGTGTGTGTTCCAGAGGTGAAGATTGTGAGTCGGGCAGACCGGTTGAAGGAGCACAGACAGCAGCTGAAGCAGATCAAGAGGAGATATGGTCTGGAGGTGAGCTGTCCACCACGAGGGGATTCCAGGGCCCCATGCTGGTAGTTGACATGGGTGTCCTTGCTGACCCGGGGTGACCCAGCTGACCCAGACTGACCGGGTGTGACCCGGGGTGACCCGGCTGACCCAGACGGACAGGTGTGACTTAGACTGATTCAGACTGACCTAGATTCACCTAGACTGACCAAGACTGACCCAGACTGATCCAGACTGACCTAGATTCACCTAGACTAACCAAGACTGATCCAGACTGACCTAGATTCACCTTGACTAACCAAGACTGATCCAGACAGACCTAGATTCACCTAGACTAATCAAGACTGACCTAGACTGACCTAGATTCACCTAGACTAACCAAGACTGATCCAGACTGATCTAGACTAACCAAGACTGATCCAGACTGATTTAGACTGACCTAGATTCACCTAGACTGACCCAGACTGACCAGCTGTGACTCACGCGTGGATATTCAACATTCACTCACTCAAGCTTTATCAAGTCAACTGAATATAAATAAAAGCAACAAACCATTTTCATATTCATAATAAATCTCTGCTTAAAGCAGAGGCCAGTGTACGATTTTGACTATGTCATTATATGAGTTTATGATGGATTATCAAATAGAGATGATACCAGGTGTTTGCAAAAAGGTGAGTGTATCCAGCCCCACAAACACATGCAAAGGCAAGTCAACTGTTCACTTGAAAAATTCTCAGGAAACGTCCGACCAAAGAAGACAGATTAATGATGACTATAGTATACAAATGTTCCTGGTTTATAGAACTGATCCAAGACTGTCTGTGTTTGGTATTCATTTGTCTACCAGTGTCAGTCTTTCGCTGTTGGTTTGAGCTACACCATCCATGACCTGTTTCAGAACTGTGCCTACATAGACAACACAACAGCCATCCACAACCCAGCCTATGAAGACAAGGCAGCATCCAGGCGGCGCACAGTCGGCAGTGATAACCCACATGCTCCAGACGAGGCCCCAGCCTCTGTCATGCAGTAAGACGCAGCTATTACTGTGTTTGCCTTTATAGTATTTTACGGCAGTTCTGTGCCTGAATCGAGAGGTTATTCAGAAGTTCTGAAGCCACAGGCTCATAGATATTTAAAGTCATGATGTTTGGCATATCAATGAATACATACATATAACTTACTAATCCTTACATGTGAAGCGACATTTTAAGTTTCATAAAGTGATATATATATATTATATAGCCAATTAAAACTGCGTTCAATCTTACTCCGCTTATTTAATTATAACTATATTGTGCCTTAGAGTTAGAACTTTACTGTGCTTTTTCTATATATATGTATATATTGAGACAATTGATTAATCATACGTTTACGATTTAACGACATACACTTAACAAAATTGCTTCAAGATGGATTACTGAAATGATGCGAGTTCATAATTCTGAATATTGTTGGCATACTAACAAGAAATGGTATTCATTTTCGACATAGCCCAATCCCAAATTTACATAATATTTTCATAAACGTTCTGGATCTCCACCTTTATATGTCTTCCTGTCTCCATTGTGATCTTATGACAACCACAGCAGAAACGAGTTAAAGATATCCTGTAAGGTTTACAGTCCGTGTACTTTAAGTAGAGTTAGGTGCATGTGCCAGTTGTGACATTCTGAAGTCCTGTTGTATGTAAGCTGGCAGCCTTGTCCGATTTGTCCACATGGCAACACATTACATATAAGTGATAACAGATGGCTTGAATTGATAGTTCCACTGATATCATTCGTCATGTTTTCAGACCAATCTCCACGGAGAACAAGGGCCGCAAGCTGCTGGCCAAGATGGGCTGGAAGGAAGGTCAAGGTCTGGGCAAGGACAACACAGGAATAGCAGAACCGGTCAGTGAAATAGGTTGTGATGTGAATATAAGAAAATTGACAAAGTGGTAGAGTGAATTATGGGCTGAGGCTGATAAAAACATCAAATATTTCTCTTCACGCAGTCATTCAATTTTGAAAGACATATGACCTTGACCTTGTTTCAGATCAATGTGATGCTGAGGACCAATCAGGCAGCTGGATTAGGATCTGGGGCGGCGGTTCAGAAGAGCCTGGATGATGTGCAGACTGCAGGGAAGAGTCGGAGATGGCTGCAGGCACAGCAGAGATACAACAAGCTGGATAATCAGCCTGTTGACCTCAGCAAACCCACCAACATGACCCTCTCCTTCAAGAAAGGCCCAACTGTCAACCTCCAGCCAAGGGTTGACCTTGGGGCAGGAGAATCCGATGAGGATGGAGACAAGGCGGGCTGAGTTGGTGGACACAGTATGTGCAGGACTCCAATCAAAGCTACCCAACAAACCAACCCATGCCATGACTACAGGCATTGTTCAGATGTCACTGAGATAAGCCGACAGGTAGAACAGACAGCGTCACTGTGTGTTTCTGCCCCTCCTACAGGGAACTTTGAGCCTGAAGGACTCTGTCCAAGGGAGGGTTTTGAAAACAGGAACTTGAGGGCACAAGGAGTGATGTAATGTCCTCTACACAAGCCAGGAGGTGATGTTGCGATAAGCAGTTTCTCAAGGCTGTTGCTTCTCAAGAGGGAAGATTCATTGTGACTCATTATCAAGAAAATTGGATGTGCACTTATTTATTTATGATCTTTTCTTGAGTTATGCCTTGTCACATTGGCAACTGGGTATTTCCAGGCTAGATCTATTGTGTTAGGAAACAACAAGACGTTTCCAGGATAGTGAACTTGGTGAGAGGAGATAATCCCTTGATAGTTACTGGTATTGCTGGATTAGTTGTCCAGGACATTGTTGTATTAAACTTGAGTGATACCGTATGTTCATCTGTCATTAAACCTCCATTAACTAATTAATTTCGGTTTTATCAAACTTTTTATGACGCCATGTTTACATTACAAAGCCATTATGATATTGGAGGTAAAGCATTAGGCCGTAATTAAACTAAACTTGCCTTATGAAATGTACAAATTTAAGAGAGCCGTGCGATAAACCGCAAAGTACAATGAAGAACAAAGCATGGTTTATTATCCCCCGCCCAACGAAGTTGGCGGGGATATAGAAACGGGCTCCGTCCGTCCGTCACGTTTTGTTTCCGGAGCATAACTCATAAACCGTTCAATATTTTTTCATCGAACTTGGCAGGTCTGTCAGGTACATGCTGAACTGGTGCCTTTTGCTATTCCACCTCGGTTGAAAAAGGTTAGGGTTTGTTTAGATTCAACTATGTCATAAATTCTGCAACTGGGGCGGGGGATATAGCCACGTTAGTGGCAAACTCTTGTTTAAAAAATAAACGACGAGTGGGAGTTGTTTATCATACAGTAAAACACTGCAGGGTTTTATTGTATGATAAACAAAGACCACAATTCGTTTATTTCTTATATGAGATATCAACATTTTGTACAGACTCTTTAAGGATGATGATAAAATGTACAAGCTTCAAAATATTTACTTGTATTTTAATCATGATGACTCCCCGAATAGAATCTGACCTTAGCAACCATTTAATGCACACTTCCTGCATATTTTCACAATCCTCACGTCGATTACATGTAGCTTTTCTCCCAATACCGATTGTCAAATATCTCCTGCTTTTGGATGTAATCATTTGGCCATCATGTTTATCTGCATTGCCCAGCTACATCTATGGGGAACAACTCGCTAGACTCCCCTCTAAAAAATAATGTCCTCCAATGTATGACGTCATCAAGTGGGGAGCTCATGTTCAAATCTCCAGAAATGACGTGATGATACAGCAATGTTTCATCGTGAAATAAACCACGCTTCATTCTTTATTGTTCTTTGTCTTGACGTCAGTTCTGGAGATTCGAACATACGCTCGCAACTTGACACCGTAAATTGGAAGACGTTATTTTTGAGAGGGAAGTGTCTTGTGAGTTGATCCCCATAGATGTAGCAATGCAGATGAACGCATTGGCCGAACGTTCCCATCCAAAAGTGGGAGAGATAAGACATTCGGTATTGGAAGAAAAGGTACTGATAATCTACTTGAGAATTGTGAGAATATGCAGAAAATACCTAACTTACCCCCCTGTTCATAAAATGGAGAGAGCAGAAGGTCCGGGGTTCGATCCCCGGCCGCGTCCTACCAAAAAACGTTAAAAGATTGTACTTGTTGTTACCATGTCTTGGATGCGACGTTAAACCCCATTTCACCTCACCTCATAAAATGGACTCGTCCGACATTGCTAAGGTCAGATTGTATTCAGGGAGTTTAATCAAATTTAGGGTAAAATATTTTTAGAACCTGTAGATTTTATTGACATCCTTAAGGAGGCTGTACATGATGTTGATATCTCACAGTTTATTCTCCCTGAAATGTTTTATTGTAAGATAAACAACACCCACTCATCGTTTATTTCTTAAATAAAAAAAACTGAAGAACATGTGTCTGAATAAAAATCTTTACATTGAAACTGTCAAAACAAAAATAACAACACAAAGTGAACATCATAAGTGATGCATATGGCAATTATGACTTTCGAATATTTAGAGTCGAGGAATGCTATCTTCATTATCAAGCTAACACATTGCAGAGGATAGCTAACAAACGGCAGTTTGCCGACAAGGAATTGTTGGGAAATTACATGGAAATACCCTAATTTAACAACACCTTCATGAAAATCTTGTACTAAAAAAATCTTTAGTTAATGATAGATTAATGACCGCTTTGTACCCGTTTTACTGTTGCCATTAACTTATGAAACATGAAGGGTTTTATGAACCCGTCGTGTTTAATGTGCCCAGTGGTTAATGAGGGTTTGATACAAGTGTGTCCAGATGACATGAACAGTGCAGGTGGTACATTCACTCACACTTTGTAAAGTAGGAGGATGAAATTTGTTTTATTGTTTGAGAAGATCTTAATCAACTCGAGCTCAAGTGAGGACAACCTTGTGACAATCAGTTGTTTTGCATATTGTCGTGTTTTTGGCCCATGGTCAGATTATGTATTATTAAAAAACACAATTCTGAATTTTCATTGTAAGTGTTTGTTTAGATAGGTTGCCTCTTGGAGATGTACAGACATGTTTCCTCTAAAGTAGCCGAAATGTTGTGTTAAAAGTATTGGAACATATTGACATCATCAGTGTTGATGAAAAGGTCACTTCACTGAAAACAAGTAGAGTAAGTGTTAACAAACCAAGGATTCTAATCAGGCGTCTGATTTTGGGATTCGCAACCTTGTACCCTGTGTCAACTGAGGGACGCATCTCTCCATCACGCATTGCAGCGCCTGTACCATTGGCCAAGGATGCTTTGGCAAGATGGCCTGGGAGGAGGGAAATCGAACATTGCCTTAAATACAATTCCTGTCTTTTTGTGAGGCCAGATCTTGATAAAAGCTGTGTTAAACATTCAATCAAGAGACGTTGTTAGTGCCGTTACATTGCATGACTTGCTAAAAGCCGTCTTATTATTTTCTGGTCTTGGCTCATCACCAGCCGCCCGGAAGCCGGATTTGTTCCAGTGGGTAGATCAGACTTACCTGAAGATGTGTGTGACGTTACTGGCATATATATGACAATTGACAATAACACTGCAGTTCAGCCTTGACACATTCAATTGTCTTTTTGAAATGGCCGCCATGACAGGGGTCTGAAATAGGTGTTAAGTTATTTAACCATGGCTCCTTTGTCTTTGACCGTGGTCTAACTAACTGAATTGTTAGTTAAACATCACTTGGCAATGACGGAACTTTCCCCCTTATAGGCCCATCAACATGGGCAAGCAATATTTAGGTCATTGATGAATGTGCTCGAGTTGGTCCAAAATGAATAGTACACTTGCCCCGGGACATGCATTTCATAACCCAAATCGGCGAGGCGCACGTGCGAAAGGCTCGGGGAACACATTTCACGTGCTTCACGCAGGGCCGACTCACACAGTGTTCTCACAGTTGAGCATAGAGCTCCTGAATATATTTCAAAATACCTTTCTCAAAAGTTTCTAATAGTTGAAATGGTTAATTAAACAACTCGGCGCTGCGCGCCTCGTGAATTAATTAACCATTTCAACGATTAGACACTGGGTCCTCGTGGTCTAACCTATATATAGTTCGCGGGCTGGTCCAAAAGTTCTGAGCCTAACTTTCAACTATGGGCCAAGACAAAGTGAACTAGTCAATGTTGTACATTGTTTGAGTAGTTCATTGCAACATGAAAATGAACAAGTACCGAGCAGTCATCAAGGGTTTGACTTTAGAGAAAAGTAATCCCAAGAAATTCATGACCGCATGTCACAAGTGTATGGGGACAAGTGCCCCAGCTATTCACTGTTTTACGTTGGGCAGCTATATTTAAACGTGGGAGAACGAGCCTTGATGATGACCCTAGGCCTGGACATCCCTCAATTTCCATCAATGAAGATTAAATCAAGAAGATAGAAACGCTTATACTGTCCGATAGACGTATTACTATTGCTGAACTTGAGGAAGACACAGGTATGAGATACCCGTGAAGATCAAGGGTAGGACAGGTCTTCAGGAACCCATGCTTGCCGTAAAAGGCGTCTATGCTTGTTGTAAGAGGCGACTAACTGGATCCGGCTCGCTGACTTGGTTGAGGCATGTCATCGTATCCCGATTGCGTGGAAAGATGCTCATGACGTCAATCTCTGGATTGTCTTATCCAGACTAGATAACTTAAAGGCCGCCGTCATATAGATGGAATATTGGGTGCGGTGTTAAACAACAAACAAACAGATACAGGTCTAAGCCATGGATCCATTGAAAATATTATTCATGAACATTTAGAGATGATTAAAATATCTGTTCGTTGGGTGCCAAAGATTCTAAATTCTTATCTTTAGGAAAAAGGAACTGACATTGCCATTGAAAATTTAGAGCTAAACATGGAGGATTTCGTCAAATTCAAAAAGAGATTAATAACTGGTGATGAAACTAGAGTCTACCACTATGATCCCCAGTGAAAACGTCAATTCAAGGAATGGCACCATTCCACTTCTCCGTCACCAAAGAAATTCAAGTTTTCAAGATCAGAGAAGAAAGTTATGGCCACTGTATTCTGGGATGCAAAAGGTGTGATCCTTGTTGATCACTTAGAAAGTCAAAAAGACCATTACTGGTGCCTGATTTGCTTCATCGCCTGAGAGATTCTATTAAAAAAGCGGCGAGGAATGCTGACTGCTGGAGTTCTACTGTTTCATGACAATGCCTCTTCTCACACCTCTCTAGCTGCTATGCGACAATGTTGGTTCGAAGAGCTTCCTCACCCTCCATACTCGCCAGACCTGGCACCTAGTGATTTCCTCCTGTTTCCTAAACTGAAAGAACACTTTCGTGGAAGCGCTATGACGACAACGATGACCTTAAAGCTGCCGTATAAATGGGTATTTCAGGGTGGCTTCAGAAAACCTCTTCCTGACTGAAATTGAAAAGCTTCGCTATCAATATGAGAAGTGTATTGAAAAGTAGGGAGATTATGTTGAAAAATAATATTAAAAACACTTTCACAATTGTTGGTTTTGTTTGTTAGGCTTATATGGAAGTTTTTGAAAGATGAAGTTTAAACAGGACGGGTTAGGAAAATAAGCAAGGTATTAAATGCTTCTATAAAATACACGATAAGAACGTGTGAATATGTGTGTATTATTAATAGATTTACTTATGAAAATACTAGTATATATGTAGGAACTCACATTAAAATGTGTTTGAACGACTGGATTGTCGCATTTAATGAAATATTACTGCTTTGAAGTTTCCCATGACATTCAGTACAAGTGTCTAATCGCTGTATAATATATACCGTTTCGTAACTTCAATTAGGAGATAATAAAACCTTCCGTGTTTTCAATTATAAAGTTTCGAAACCAAAGTCGTCAGTTTTTAACCCTTCGTAAAGTGTGAGCCTCTGTACCTCTGGTACTCTGGCTTTATTATATATTTTACAGACAACTATACTCCGCAAAGTGTGCCGAGGATCACCCCTTTTAAATCTAGTACGTCAAATTATGTGCATCTGATGAAATAGCGAAAGACAATATTGCGAGAAGACTTGTTTAACGAACAAAAAACCGTTGTCATATGCCACCCAATGCCAATAAACAACATGTGGCCACTAATCAGTCAGATCACCCGTCAAAATGAGAGTAAAAAATTAGGTGTGTCGGAGTCGGAGTGCGAGAATGTAGGATTAACGGGACTAAATAGCACTGAATCAATCGGTTCCAATCATTTGTGTCGGATAAAGCCGAGTGTCGGATTAACGAGACTTGACTTACCAAACTTTAATGAAAAAATCACAAAAACAAATTCATTGTCAAAAACAACTCTCAGTAGCACGTATGTGGTGCGATGACAGCCTGGCATTGTCGCATCATGATCCCAATAAGTATGTGGATGGTTTGGTTGCCAAGGGAAGATTGTTCCACTCTTCAGTTAGAACATTGCCGAGTTCATGCGGAGTTGCCAGAAGGACAGCGCGTCATGAGAGAGTGATCTGTAGCTCGTTCAACATGTGTTCGATATGGTTGAGGGCTGGTGACTGGGCTGGCCACTCCATACGGAAAATGGTAGGTTTCAACGGCCCTAGCACGATAAGGTCGTGCGTTATCGTTCATTAGGATGAAGACTGGCCCGACTGCACCAGTATATGGTCTCACATGCAGAATGTCATAACTGTATCACACACCTGTCACCGTTCCCCACTGTAGGACATAGAGATCGGTGTCTTCTAGTTGAACTTGAAACTGTAACTGTAATCAGTTTTCAGTTTATGCAGTTACCCGCTATTGTTCCTTTTACGTCAAGAGGAATCTGTTTTGGCAGATAATCGACACTGGTTAGTTTCTGGCGTTTACGTTTTAGATTTCCGATAATTCAATCCTATTATTCGTGATGGAGTGGGACATCAGCCCATAAACAGTAATACGGCCCACCCTACAATCCGCAGTACGAAGATCGATTGATAAGTTAGCCTCTTATAAGAAGAACATGTGGACACATGCTGTCACAGAGGTATATCAGCAAAAACTTGAGTCAATTGAGCATATTATTTCGTTGTGACAAGTCAGTAATATAAGCAGGAGTCTGTGACCTTTGGAAAATGGACAAACTTGAGGAACGTTCAGTGATCAAGTCCTTAAACATTTCTTGCAATTACAGACTTTGGTAGAGCGAGTTATTTGTTGACTGGAGCAGTTTCAGCTCCATGAATGTTTATGAAGAAGTCAGAGCTTTTAAATATTTTTCACAACCTTGGTATGACTGTGAATACAAATATTATATCACGCTCTGTGTACTTCAAAATTGTGAAATGTAAACACATGAATTGGATGAAATTTTTAGTGATGTTTAGAATTCTCTATCACGCAAGAACAAACATTGATGGAAAAAATAAGGCAGTAGGTTCAGACGATCTTTCCAGATTTGTTTTAATGTGCCAATGAAATAATGGTGTCTTATTTCGAAGTTTTGCTTAATGCCCGGTATCGACTTCACATTTTCCAAACTCTTGTACTGGTGTGTTTGTTCCCTTGCATAAGAAGGACAGTATTTCAAAGCAAAATAATTATAGAGGGATCTCCCTCCCAGAATGTTCAGTAAAGTTTATATATACTTCAGTTTTGAATAACGATTGGTTTTTTGGCCCGATGCATACAATAAAATAGTCGAGGCACCACCTGGTTTCGGAAAGGGCATGATACTTGGCTGATGTTTTAGTGTTACAGTTCGTAATACAAAGATATCTTAGTAAAGAGTAAACATTTATTCAATTTCACATCAATTTCAAGAAGGAATTTAATTGTGGAAATAGAGCCGATTATAGTATGACATTGGACCCCGAACTGGCCTAATATACTGAACATCAGCGTTGTCCTTGTGTACACGTTCATCCAGTTTTGGTCCAATTACTTTTACTTTTGTTTGCAGATGAGTGAGTGAGTGAGTATGGTTTTACGCCGCTTTTAGCAATATTCCAGCAATATCATGGCGGGGGACACCAGAAATGGGCTTCACACATTGTACCAATGTCGGGAATCGAACCCGGGTCTTCGTCGTGACGAGCGAATGCTTTAACCACTAGGCTACCCGACAGCCCCTGTTTGCAGATGATGTGATATTCATATGTGATGCTGTTTTTGGCTTACAAAAACGTATGAAAATATTTTGCGAAAACTGTAAGCTATCTATAAATTTTGACAAGACGAAGGTTGTAGTGTTAAAGAATGGTGATGTTTTGTCAAGATATGAACAGCATCCTGTAAACGGTTTTTAGGTGTTAAAACTTCTGCACCTAATCATGTGGCATATGGCGCATGTGGGCATATGTTTTCATACAAGAATTATTTAATATTAGATAAGATTATTACATTCATGGGCTTTAGATATGTTAAACTTTATGATAACTTACTTTTGCAGCCTGTTAAAATGAACTGGGTATCCAAGGTTAAGCTGTTTCTTTGCTCCAAATGGTTTAGCAACAGTAGAATAGCTCATCTTATGAAGAGGAGCAGCACAGGTCTTTGGCTAAAAGTTCTAAAACAAATACATATAGAGAATCCCAACCGAGTGTCTTTTGATATCAAATATATCAACACAAGTTGATAAAAGCGGAAACATTCCGAGGCTTGCCGAGGATTTTTGCCGTTTTTATCACCGAGTGTTGATATATTTGATATCAAAAGGCACGAGGGTGAGATTTTATTTATCATCCAATATCATTCTTCCAACTTTTTCAATTTGTAGACAGTAAAAGTACTGCTAACAGCTTCAGTAGCAGAGCCATTAGTGATGTCATTTGATTGTGACGTCATGGTAACCAGTGACGTCACAATGGTCTGCAAAGCATTGTGATGTAATTTCATTGCAGCGATATCTACAGTGTAGATATGGCTTGATCTCATCCAAGCGATATCTCCTGTGGGAGCCAGTTTGGGATGATAAATTCTATTTTTTAACTTTCATCCTGCTATGAACCGTATCTTAAATATATACTATTTATATAATAAATTTAGGAATGCTTTAGCACGATTTAGATTTACATTGAAGATGAATATTACTTCATGTATATTTATATTTTTGATTGCGATCTGAGGAAAACATATATTCAAGAGAAGTATTACAAACACCCAATCTAGGCATACATTTGTATTACGTTGCTATCTCTAAGTGAGATTTGTGATATAAAATATTGTAATGTTTATTCATCATGGAATGTGACCCGCGAGGATGCCGGGTAGAAAAGGTCTTAAGCAACCCATTCTTGTCGTAAGAGGCAATTAACGGGATCGGGTGGTCAGGCACGCTGACTTGATTGATGTATGTCATCGTGTTCCAATTGCTCATGATATCAATCACTGGATTGTCTGGTCCAGACTCAATTATTTGCAGAGCGCCGTCCTTAAAATGGAATATTACTGAGTGCGGCGTTAAACAACAACAACAACAACAAAACAAACATCACGGAATGTGCAAAAAACCCAGTATAACTGTCTGTTTTGTGAATCATGCCTCATTCTCCATGTAACCATTGTTGTCATAATGGACCTATGACCTACACAACTGTGCAGAATAAAGAATAAAGACTGTATGCGTTTTGCAAGCTATACAAATAGAATCAAGTTTTCCCCACTTTTTCTTCCGGGTTGTTTGATGTTTGTTACGTACAGGGAAATAGAAAATATGATTCACTCGGTCACTGTGTTTTGCTCCATTCTAGTCCTGCTTGTCACACTACAATAGAAGGTAAAGTAGTTTTGCCTTACATGCTTTTGAAAAAAACATGAACATTCTGAGTTGTCAGCCGATCTCGGGGGTATATGGTGTGATGTAGTGTTGTTGCTTTAAGTGTTTTAGAGGTTGCCTTCTGCCTAACCAGTTTCGGCTGACTTGTCCCTCTTTGGGACACATGTGTGTGAGTAGGTTACACATATTTATTGGGAGTTTTAGTATTGATAAAATATCTGTTTTTGTATTTATAAGATTTCTATTTTCGTATATTGATATGATTTCATTTTTTTTTTATCTTTGTCTGCTCTGTTAATATGTTCGAGTAGCTGTTACTCCCTGAAGTAGAGTTAGATTGGCCTTCGCTATTGCATTTCTTGGCTTTAGGAGATCTACGACAGTTAGCGGATCTAACTGCGACCGAGACTGCGGCGTGAGAGGGCTACTTCCACTTTCATTTCATTTGGGTATGGATAGGGCTTATGGTGGATCTTGGGTAGGATTTTGTATCGGTAGATCGCACTTGCGTCCCACTGGACTTGCCATCTTTGAGCTATGGAATTTGCTTGCTATCTCTAGTTCACTGAAAGGAATAGGCTGTATCTTCGCTCTGTCTTGAGCCAGTTTTGCCAGTGTGTTCTGCTTTTTCATTTCCATGAATATCTATGTGAGAAGGGATCCAACACAGCTCCGCCTTTTACCCGATAGTTTTGTATATTCGTAAAGAACAATATTGACTTGGTCTAGAGTTTGAGCTTCTGCCGATGAAGCCTTGAAGTGCACTTAGTCTGATAGGATAGACCGCCTTCGCTTCCGGAAGTTCCGGTAAGAGCTTGAGTGCATGATGAATTGCCTCCAATTCAGCAGTGAATATTGACTGGCCGTCAGGCAGGAGAACAGAATTGGTTTGGGGTTTGAATCTATAGACATGGATCCCGTAACCAGTGTTGTTGATTCTTGGATCCGTCAGTGTATAAATGGGCCCAGCTGTCCCAGGTAGTTTGAATTTGAATGATAGCTACTGATCGTCAAGAGGTTAGGTTTTCTTTTTTAGTGACAACGATAATGTTATCTTATAAACGAATATTTAGAAACACGAAAGAGGATTACAATGTTTCATATTTTTACGGTTACGAATTTTCTCGGGGTACAACATTTCTAGGGTTATGGATTCGCTTGGTTTACGAAATTACCGCAACCCATTGGCTGACAACATACTGCGTTGAGAAAATGTCAGAATAAGCCATACAGTTATTACTTAATGCCAAGCTCGGTGTGATTTAATAGTTCTTTTAAATTTGTGTTTATAGTGAACTATAAGCTATTTTATTTTTGGTAATCCCTTTATCGACACATGAAATGCTTCTGTAGGTTCCCTTCTTGTCGACTACAGGTTAGACGATCGATCCATTCAACTATTCGGGGGCACCACAACGCACTCGTTCTGACAATGTGCGGATTGGCGTTCACGGAATGTACTGGCGAATTGAGAGATAAACCTTCTGTGTTTTGAAATTTGATGTAGTCCAACTGTAAATTAGATACCTCTTATTTTAATTTGGAATCGGGTTTCAAATGTAAAAATAAGAGCTATGTAATCCACAGTGAGACACAAAGTTTACAAACAAGGTTATTCTCCATTCTTCCGTGAGGACAAGAGCGCTTTGAAAACGATGCTCTCTTGGAACGCGTAATTACACATAGTTCAAAGGTCTGTTATCTGAGAACATTCCGAAAGGTGGTTTCAGGTATATAAATGTAATAAATATTGCTAAAGTTTGAAATACTCATAGTCTTCACTGGTTAAAATAACGGTTCAAAATGCATAGATTTTCAAAAAGTAGTTGTCAAATAGCCCTCCAAAGATATATGTTCTAATTTCATCGCAACCTGTTGTATAGTTGCACTGTTGCATAGTTGCACTGTTGGATAGTTGCACTGTTGGATAGTTGCACTGTTGCATAGATGCACTGTTGCATAGTTGCACTGTTGGATAGTTGCACTGTTGCATAGTTGCACTGTTGGATAGTTGCACTGTTGCATAGTTGCACTGTTGCATAGTTGCACTGTTTGGACTCAACCAAGTCATAACCTGGAAATCAACGTCCATTCGTTATTTCTTATAAATCAACACGACATCCCATTGTTGGAGTGACAGGATGTTGAAATGGTGTACAAAATGCAGAAACTAATTTGTTTCTCCATCAAACTTTATTAAATAACCAGATTTAAGTTATTGGTAAGCTGTACTCATGTAGCAGTTGGTTTGAAATAATTCCTCAACACTAATACACTGACTCTCCACCCGACAACAGACGACAACACGAGAGATATGTTTGTGACCGCTGATTATATATCGCTGGCACAATTGTTCGTTTGTGTTTTACTGAACTGTGCATTTTCTGAAATAGATTTCAAGACGTTTGACAGGGTATGAAACTCCCAAAAATTTCAGCCAGACCACAGGACTGGCTAGCTGAAATACTTGCCAGCCCTGACCAAAACCTGCCTGCCCACTATAATCATATGTTTCTCAGGATAAGCTAACGGGGTTTCTTTTTGGTTACATTTTATCATTCATCTTTACATGTGAATTAATGCTTATCATCGGGAAATATTTTGAATATTTTCACATATGAAATATAACCCGACCGTCGGGCAGGGGGATGAACACTGCGTTTGATAAGTTGTTGTTCATATATAGAAAGTAAACAACATTCTAATGTGTTATTGGCAGCCAATTTTATAAGCATCGATGCGAAGGCTGCCCATGAATCGATGTTTTCATACGCACGTTTTGGTGTGTTGTAAGGCTTAATTTAAAAGTGGTATCAGTAGGAAAAAGGATACCTCTTTTTAACTAATCAGAATCAAGTATTCTTCAATGTCATGGTAGAAAATCACCAGAATAAGCCATGAATTTATTACTTCATGTGTGATTCATAGTTTGTGTTTGAAGATAGATATAAGCAATTATAGTTCCGGTAATCGCCGTGTCGACTTATGATATGCTTCTGTAGGAAACCTTCTTGTCGACTACAGGTTCGAGGATTGATGCATTCAACCATGTGGCACCACAACACGCTCCTTCTGGCAATGTGCGGGCTGGCTCTCACACAATGTACTGGTGAATATATTAAACACCTATCCAACGTATATATTATGTAACTGACATGTTCGCCGTTACACATGGCATATTTTGAATACACTGGGGCAAACATTGAAGTGTCATAGTTATCATAGCAGTGGTTAAATGTCCGACATGTCAATAAGATATGAAAAGATGTGCTAACTAATCAGTGGTTATGGCAGATTCTTTATCGTGAATCATGAAGTATTAACGTTTAGTAAGGTATCAGGTCCGAACAAGGAATTAAGTTATCTGGGATAAGTGACCTCTCCAGTTTAATTTGCAACAGTAGTTCATCTTTAGATCAGGCCTGAGAACATTAAATAAAAACGATTTAGCACCTCATCGATTCACGCATGCTTAATCTTGGAGACAATAACGTTCGCACTGACTTCATTGTTGCAGCCTTTCCGCTGTGCCAGGATATACATTCCAGTTGTAGAGAGTCGAACTGTCTTCAGCCAGGTATAGACTCTTTCTGCAAGAAGACATGCGGCCTTTGTCAAGAAGGTGAGAGGCAAATCTAAGGGAAGACAGCTGAACTGTTCTCATGTTGATAGAATGTTCTGTGCAATATTCTCAATATTCCAACAGTCCATTTATCTACTGATTGATCCCTTTATCTGGTATTTGTTTTAAGTGACCTGATAATAATTGTTAATATTGAAACATTCTTTCCACAGAGTGCAAGTCGGGATATTTCCAGGATGGCTTCTCGTGCAGACAATGCAAGGATGCTGTCGATGTACAGTCAGTCGAATACACAGATGCATGTGGTGTTCCCTGTAGCCAGAGCCACATGTGGGGTGCAGATTGTCTTACTCCATGTAGTACAGGATGCAGGAATCAAACATGTGACCGGTGGGAAGGGCACTGTCTTCAAAACTGCCTGCCAGGTTACTATGGACCTACATGTGATTTAACTTGTGACACGTGCAGGTCGTGTGGAGACGGTGTTGAGACGTGTGACAATGAGGGGATGTGTCTGTGTGGCTGCAAGACAGGAAAACTAGGAAACAAATGTGACCAAAACTGTCCAAACTGTGAAATGTGTACAGGAAAAAACTGTACATGTCAAGAAGGATTTCGGGGTGCGTTGTGTACAGAGAGCTGTGCGAACTGTAAAAGATGTAATGGAGACAGTTGTACATGCAAGGCTGGATTCCATGGAGATGGCTGCACCGCCCCCTGTCACCTGCGCTGCCTCTATAACGTATGTGGTCTGGAAGGAGAGTGTACACGGGGATGTGAAGTAGGGTGGTATGGACGTTTGTGTGAAAAACAGTGCAATAACTGTGTCAGAGAAACATGCTCATTCAACGGGACATGTACATCAGGGTGCAATAGCGGGTGGTCTGGTGACAAGTGTGACGAAGCCTGCAATGTCAACTGTGAGGACGAACTGTGTTATCGTAACGGAACCTGTGAAAGATGCAAACCCGGTTTCCATGGAGACCAATGCAACAGCCCATGCAGCAGTCACTGTAATAACCAGAGATGTGACAGGAATGGAACTTGTGAATCTTGCAGAGTTGGAAACTTTGGGGAAATGTGTGAGCGACAGTGTGGTTCCAACTGTATGAATCATGCCTGTGAACAAATGTCAGGAAAGTGTATCCAAGGCTGTACCACAGGCTGGTACGGAGATACGTGTCATCTGGAATGTCCCGACCAATGTGCCTCAGAGTCCTGCTACAGAGAGACTGGTTCATGTAAGTCTTGTATGCAGGGATTCAAAGGCTCCCACTGCAACGCTTCGTGTCCACAGTTCTGTACTAAATGTGAACAATATGTTGAAAAATGTCTCTCTTGTCAACAACAACTTTTCGGCAAGATGTGTGACAAACGTTGTTCATCCGGATGTAATGGAGGCACATGTCACCACCAAACTGGAATATGTTCACAAGGATGTATTGGAACTTCCTTTGGCCATTACTGTAACAATTCGTGCAGTGATCACTGTGTCAATGGAAACTGTCATACAGTTAACACTGATGTAGATACGCCCCAATGCACTGGGGGGTGTGACGACGGATGGTGGGGGTACTACTGTGACAACACGTGTCTACAGCACTGTGTGAGATGTGACAGACATCATGGCCAATGCCTGGCGTGTGAAGCCAACAGATACGGCGAGTCCTGTAACTTGACCTGTAACACTGCCTGCCTGAAGTCGCAGTGTAACATGACAGGAGTCTGTATAAACGGGTGTGAGGACGGGCGGTACGGAAGCCAGTGTTCTGAAATAGGTGAGGTGAGGTGAGGTGAGGCGAGATTGGGTTTAACGTCGCGTCAAAGATTATTGCACTTATATAGCGACGTGCATTCACGTGTGTGTGTGGCTGCTTGTACTAGTCCGGACTGATGCCGATTTATAGTGCTAGCCCACTGAGATACCATGCCGCAATACCCCACTGAGACACAGTATCATGACTCCGAGCCGAACAGCCCTTGTTCTTGCCCCTTAATGCCGAGCGCCAGACAGGGTAACAACATGTACCATCTTTTAACGTCTTTTGGTATGACGCGGCGGGGATGGAACCCCGTACCTTCCGCTCTCCGGGCGGACGCTCTACCATTAGACCATGGAGGCGGTCTGTTCTATAAAGATGCCCCATGATGTGCAACACATGTCTGTATGATGGTGCCTGCCTTACTTGTCCTGATGGCTGGACGGGAGAACACTGTAATGGTAACAAAGTTTAACGTAGTCGCATATAAACAATTGTATTGGTTATTCATAATTGAACGCCATAACAACTCACTATGTTATCCCTAGTGGTGGTTCCACGTAAGAATGAGTCCCCAGGTAGGATTGGTTCGTCAAGTACGGCGACTTACAGCTTTTATAGCGTGTCACCGTACCCAGACCGCGTAAACAGGTGCTTACAATATCAGTCACATGTTTGGCTAGTCAAGACTCGATTATTTACAGGGTAAGCCATATAGCTGGCAATCTGCTGAGAGCGGTTTAAAACAACAATCAATACAAACATAATGTGATTCACAATGCTTTCAACTTTCATCTCGTTTAGGGCTTTTCTCCAACCTTAAGCTGACACGCCATGATATAACTGAAAAACTGTTTAAAGCGGCGCTAAACCATAGTCACTCACTCAACATTTCTTGAGAGTTATGATATGGTCAACTGACAGTTCGACCTCGCTGTTTACTGCTGAATATATATAATATGTCTTCTTTTTTTTATAAAAAGAACCAAGAAGAAATCAGACGCAGTTGCTGTGGGTTGTGATTCCATGTCTACTAATAGCCAGCCTCGTCATAATGGCCGCTGTCGTCTTGGGGAGGTCAGTTGAATAATACTTATCCCAAGGGATAGAGCTAGTGGCATTTAATTGTTGTACTTTTGTATCCGTGGCAATTCTTGATTAGAATAGCCCCTATCAACCTACAACCTTTATTCCAGCTATATGACGGCGGTCTGTAAATAATCGAGTCTGGACCAGACAATCCAGTGATTGGCATCACGAGCATCGACCTACTCAGTTGGGATACGGTGACATGCAACAACAAAGTCAGCGAGTCTGACCACCCGATCCCGTTCGTCGCCTCTCACGACAAGCACAGTCGCCTTTTACGGCAAGCATGGATTGCTGAAGACCAATTCTACCCCGGATCTTCACGGGTCGTATGCTGGTTGTTAGACTGACGCGATCGTATAGACAGATTCGGCTAATTGGTTTATGGTGTGTCTTCGTTTCTCATGATATCAACCACCGGATTGTCTGGTCCAGATTATGCACAGGGCGTCGTTATGTATATAATAGTGCTGTGTTGCGTTAAACAACAACAAAAACAAGTAAATGTGATGATTGCAAATTAAAAAGTAATGAAAATGGAAGCTAAAAATATTCTATTTCCCTCTATAAATATAACCTATCCTTTGTTTTATCTTGTTTAGAAGTAATGTGAGACATTCAAAGAGAGTAAAAAGACTCGGAGGGCCACGCAGTTCCTCCTTAGTGTGCATACTGAACCCATCCTATGAAGAATCTCCAAGAGGTAACTCACCATGTCTCTGTTTTACATTCCAACATATTCGACCGCCTCCGTGGTCTAGTGTTAGAGCGTCCGCCCACAGAGCGGAAGGTCTGGGGTTCGATCCCCGGCCGCGTCATACCAAAAGACGTTAAAAGATGGTACTTGTTGTTACCCTGTCTGGCGCTCGGCATTAAGGGGGTAAAACAAGGACTGGTCGGCTCGGAGTCAGTACACTGTGTCTGAGTGGGTATTCATGTTAAATTGCGGCATGGTATCTCAGTGTGCTAGCACTATAATTCGGCATCAGTCCGGACTAGTACATGCAGCCACACACACACACACACACACACACACACACACACACACACACACACACACACACACACACACACACACACACACACACACACACACACACACACACACACACACACACACACACTCACACACACTATATGAGTGCAATAATCTTGGACGCGATGTTGAACCAAATTTCACCCCACCTCCAACATATTCATCTCAGCCACTGATATGTTAAACACTGATCGATATTTAGCAAAGAAGTATTACAGTCTTTTGGAGAGACTGACTGCCCCCGTTGTTTGATAAGTAGTAGTGACAGCCTACTGTGTATCATTTAAAGGTTCTACAACCCCTGTCGACTTAGAACCCCTGGACCCCGTCGAGGACGCAGTTATGTCCCCTTGTGTTGACGACAGGACGAGAGAGGGACAGAGATATCAACACTCACATTCTTTAGCATCCGGTCACGTGACTGACACCGCAATTCCTGACTGGGTTTGGTCAACGGAAGTGACAGTACAGAATCTAGGACAATATGTTGGAAAGATGAAGAGGGAAGGCGGTTTTACTTCCCAGTTTTACGTGAGTATAATCCTATAGGCGATTGTTGTCCTGGAATAGTAGGACCCTGAGGGATATATGTGTCTGTCATCCATTTGTTTCCTCTTTATTGTTTCGGGGCGGTCGGGTAGCCTAGTGGTTAAAGCGTTCGCTCGTCACGCCGAAGACCCGGGTTCGATTCCCGACATGGGTACAATGTGTGAAGCCCATTTCTGGTGTCCCCCGCCGTGATATTGCTGGAATATTGCTAAAAGCGGCGTAAAACCATACTCACTCACTCACTTTATTGTTTCAGAACCTGCCCAGTGGGAAGCTAGGTTCCTGTACCCAAGCCGAATGGCCAGAAAATGCCTTCAAGAACAGATACAGAAACATACTACCGTGTAAGTGTCTATAGTATTTATCTTTCATTACATATACCACAGCAAAAGGTCTGCCACTTAAAGAAATAGGAATGTTTGCATGAATATTCTAAGAATATGCGAGACCACCTGGAATGCATCTTCACATGTCTTCACACGTCTTCCTTCATAAGAAATGAGGCTAATTTTGAAATCATTGACATGTCATGTCATGTAGGAGATAGTGCCCCATATGAGCGTCAAGGGAGCTCTGGGTGACATTCACTTGCTCCTGTGGCCTGTCTATTTCACAAGCCTGCTGTCGTAGGCGATCACCTCCCTACATTCTGGTGACTTTGTTATCAACTGTGATGTGCACACTCAGTGTTAACTGGGGGCGGTCGGGTAGCCTAGTGGCTAAAGCGTCCGCTCGTCACGCCGAAGACCCGGGTTCAATTCCCGACATGGGTACTATGTGTGAAGCTAATTCTGGTGTCCACCACCGTGATATTGTTGGAATATTGCTAAAAGCGGCGTAAAACCACACTCACTCACTCACTCAGTGTTAACTGAAAGCGTCAAGGCCCAAGGAGTATTGAATCTCGTATCTCTGTTACTTCATCAGCCTGGTTCCCTGGGTAACTGAAGCGCCAGCGCAGCATACCCAGGGAACCAGGCTGTTACTTTATGTGCAAGATGTGCATTTGATATTACAATTAGTTGCATGCATCGTAATGAGTCCTCCCTGCTTTCTCCAGATGATCACAGCAGAGTCAAACTATCCCATGTGCCGAGTATCCCTGGTTCTGACTTCATCAACGCCAACTGGATCAATGTAGGTTATGTGTAAGAACGAAAAGACCCACGCATAACTCAATGTCATGAACACATGTTAATACATGCATCATCCTTTCCAACGTTTTAACATCCAGTGATTTGAATTAAAGTTGAAGTCAAATCGATTATAACAATGACATTCCTTTGTATGCTTGTTTTTTAAAAGAAAACATACCTGATTTCACCATGATGCATGGCGATTAATGATGCGTCACGAGGTATGTTAGTGTATATGACCGTTGCCTATAATAATGTGTCCCTATTTCAGGGATACGGGGAACCGCGAGCATTTGTGGCTACCCAAGGTAATACATTACAGCTCGTTCGTTTGAAATCGTCTTCAAAGTATTCCAGGTTGCTTGCTTGCTTGGTTGGCTGGTTTGCTGTTTAATGCCGCACTCAGCAATATTCCAGCTATATGACGGCAGTCTGTAAATAATCGAGTCTGGACCAGACAATCCAGTGATTGATATCATGAGCATCGATCCACGCACTAGGGATCGATGACATGCATCAACCAAGTCAGCGAGCCTGACCACCCGATCCCGTTAGTCGCCTTTGACGACAAGTATAGTCGCCTTTTACGGCAAGCATGGGTTGCTGAAGACCTATTCTACACCGAATATTCACGGGTATTTGAGAGTTGAGGGCTTGAAAGAAAGCGAGCGATAAGTCAGTATTGTGTACACCGCTTTAAGCACTATACCAGCCACACCAAGGCGAGGTTGCATGACTGGGGTTGCACATTTGTACCTACATGTATGTGTGGGAGCGAACCAAGGTCTTTAGCGTTGCGAGCGAAACCTGTAAGTGAGAAAGACCTATTCTACCCCGGAATATTCACGGGACAAGTATCCCAGGTAACTCGTATCTGAATATACACTCACCAACAGCTGTAAAGCTAAATGTTCTTCAACGTTCATTAAAGTATTCCTGATGATCTACCCTGTACTTAATATCCATCCTGCCTACGTACATTCCAGGCCCCTATGCCGCTGTGATGTGGGATTTCTGGAGAATGCTATGGGAAACGGATGCCAGTAAAGTGATAATGCTGACGAACTTTGTAGAGAACAGAAAGGTCAGACATTGCGTGTTATTGCCAGATTTCTACCGTTTACTCTTCACATCCAATATTCACGTATCACTGCATTCGATGCAACTAAGGGTTAATCACAAAGGTAAATGTGTTTTCCAGGCTAAGTGTGAGAAGTACTGGCCCGACTTCGGCTACCAAGGCTCCAACTATGACGATGTCCATGTTCAGTGTTTGGCCGAGGAGGAAATGACGGACTACACAGTCAGGACGTTCTCTATACACATGGTACGCAGAGGTGAAATGGGGTGTAATACACAGGGCACGGTGAGGTGAAATGGGGTTTAATACACAGGGTACGGTGAGGTGAAATGGGGTTTAATACACAGGGTACGGTGAGGTGAAACGGGGTTTAATACACAGGGCTCTGTGAGGTGAAATGGGGTTTAATACACAGTGTACTGTGAGGTGCAATGGGGTTTAATACACAGGGTACGGTGAGACAAAATGGGGTTTAATACACAAGCAACGGTGAGGTGAAATGGGGTTTAATCAAAGTGTACCGTGAGATGAAATGGACTTACACAATGTATGAAATTGGTTTTATTACACAGACTACGGTAAGATAAAATGGGTTTATAAATGGGGTTTAATACAGAGGGTAAGGTTAGGTGAAATGGGGTTTAATACACAGGGTACGGTTAGGTGAAGGGGGTTTAATACACATGTTACGGTGAGGTGAAATGGTGTTTAATACGCAGGGTACGGTTAGGTGAAGGGGGATTAATACACAGGTTACGGTGAGGTGAAATGAGGTTTAATACACAGGGTACGGTGAGGTCAAATTGAATTCACGAAGGCACTATGTAAAGGTCATTTAATATGTTTCCTTTGTTTAAGAGTACAAGGTTCAATGACATTCGCATCAGTGAGTGAGTTGTTTATACGCCGCTTGTGCCAGTATTTCAGTCATACCATGACGTCTCAGTTTCATTTTATAGACACATGTTGCAGGCTGCGCTCTGATCCTGGTGCGACTAAGAAATGCAACTCTGCATAGCAGAGTTTCGGACCAGTACAGAAATCAAGCATTAGGAAGAGACATGTCTATGGAGTATTTTCTTCTGCGTGTATATGCCACAAACGTGGCGCCAGTCACTCATCTTGAATCAACAGTTGTAGGGAACAATACTCAATGTTGTCTGTAATTTCCGTTTATACACAACCATTGTTATACAGGAAGGGCAGTCAGCGAGGACCCTGACGCAGTTCCACTTCACTGCATGGCCAGACAAAGGGGTGCCACGAGGAGTTGGGGCACTTGTTGAGTTCTACAGACTTGTCAGGAACTCCCCATCAACAAGCCACGGCCCAATGGTCGTCCACTGCAGGCATGTAGCATACATTTACATTAGTGTATGTACAGGGGAACTAACCCTGGGGCCCGCTTCACAGAGCTATCGTAGCGCTAAAGTTATTGTAACTCCCATACTTTAACATAGACTTAAGACTCTCTTTGCGCTACATTCGCTTTGTGGAACGGGGCCCTGATCTGTCAATACGGGCCATTTACCCTCCCGAATGCTACGCTATTTTGTCAAGTACACTCTGACTAAACCGGACTTCCCTCTCCGGATTCCGGACTGAATTTGAGGGACAAAGGGCAATTTTATCATTTATTTGCTTCTTCCTAAACAAAGAAGATTATTTTCATGAATGTACTTTGTACTTTGATAAGGTTCAGTTGGTATCCAAACACAAAGCGTTGTTTCATGGGTTTTTTCAGTGCTGGAGTGGGCCGCACGGGAACATTTATTGCTCTGGATTATTTGATTGCACAAGCCAAGGCGGAAGGCGCGGTAGATGTCTGTGAGTGCATTGTCAAGCTCCGACACCAGCGTATGGATCTCATACAGACAGAGGTGAGAGGTCATGGAGATAAACTTTTCTGTGAGAGGAGTAGTGTCGTATTTGTAATCAATCTAAATCACTTTGTGGTGATTTCTAGACTGATTTCTAGACGTATTTTCTCTCCCTCCACACAAACTAAAAGGATAATGCAAAACATGGCTCATAATCCACGATGTGAATTCCAAGCAGACAACTGTGCAATGAGTTGGCTCATTTCTGTTTTTGAGATGCTCACTGGTCAAGCCGAGTGCTGGTCAGCGTTGGTACCAGTAGTCAAGCCGCGTGCTGGTCAGCGCTGGTACCAGTGGTCAAGCCGAGTGCTGGTCAGCGTTGGTACCAGTATTCAAGCAGATTGCTGGTCATCGTTGGTACCAGTATTCAAGCAGATTGCTGGTCATCGTTGGTACCAATGGTCAAGCCGACATTGTTTGTTGTTTTGACGCCGCCATTAACTCAGCTTTATTCCAGCTATATGACAGCGGTCTGTTAATAATTGAGTCTGGACCAGACAATCCAGTGATTGACGTCATGAGCATCGATCCAAACAATTGCATCAACCAAGTCAGCGAGCCTGACCACCGATCCCGTTAGTCGCCTTTTACAGTAAGCATGGGTTGCTGAAGGCCCCGGATCGTCACGGGTCTCATCCATTAGAAGTAGCCGGGCAGACAGATGTACAGTCGACCCGTTGCGGGTATTGCACCATTGTAAATGCGGGCCTGGGGCTGGTGGCGCCCATATACTGGCTACATATAGCATGCACTTGTCATTCTACCGCGGAGGTTGAACCAGTGCGACTGACAAACTCTAAGACTGTGCATAGGAAATGGAAATATCTGCATGCGCTTTTAGAATTAATGTTACGGATAATAATAAAGATTTTTAAAGGTGACTACTATCTATTTGTAGGCTCAGTACATATATCTACACGATGCCTTATTGGAAGCCCTTCCTACGTGTGACAGAATGAGATCGACAAGAGGAAACCTGTGAATACAAGGTCATGAAGGGGGTTGAGTACATAACACTATAATTACAATGACGACAGGGATGTCTTATGGATTTCAACTATGAACAGTTCAAGTAATATAGAAGTTGAAATGCATGTCAGCTTATGTGATGTCACTTACAGATATTTCGTCTCCACTTTGTTTTTCCGAACAAAACATATGCATGTAATTTGTTGAACACTTACATTATATTTAAGCTCCTGTACAGTTGTATATAATATTTTTTTATCTTTACATGGACCGTTTGAGCGACAATCAGTCGACCCTAAAACATACCCAGAGTGTCTGGGTAGAGAGTGTCTTGGTTTATGAGAGAGTCATCTTACCGAGGCAAGAGAGTTAACTGACTATAAAAGTCCAGTTTCCACCCTTGCCGAACTAGGCTGGTACTATGGAGTTACATTTTGGCTGGACTAACGAGTCTATGCATAGTCCAATCAAAATAGCGCACAGAAATCGAAATCCTGTTCGTAAACTGTCGTGCAGATTTCTGTCGATTGCAGGATTTCCAAAGCATGTGCACCGCCAACTCGTTGTCAGCAGATATTTTTCAAACCTTTTCATGTTTTTAATCAAGGTGCTCACCTGATTTGATGCATTTCGCGATGTAAGACCCGTTTTATCACAATATACATCTTGATTATCGATCAGATCGTCCTGACTCGGGCGCCACCAGTTTGTGTGAAGCAAACGCATGTGATATGAGAGGTGGAATCTGATTGGTCCATAGGGGAGGCTTAGAAGGGACATAACTGGTAATAGCCACTGGTGGCGCTACGATCGAGCCCAGCAATTCCAGCCTAGTTCGGCAAGGGTGGAAACTGGACTGTTAAAGTCAGTTACCCCGAGTGGAAACTGGACTTTTAAACTAAAGACTTTTAGAGAGTATGCATCTCTGACTTTCGAGGAGTTTGTGTATTTGAGTGTTTGTGTATATAAAAGTCTGAATTTATTAGTCTTATTATGTGAGTGTCTGAGTGTCTTTGAGTTTGAAAGTATGAGAGACTGTATGTCTGAGTGCCTGTGTGTCTGTAAGCCGGAGAGTCTGAATGCTTTTGGGTCTGTTTTATCATGACACGTTATTGGATGTACATGTATTAGCAACATATAAGGCAATCAAGTGTCACAAAAATACCTGGCTTTAATCACGCCTTACAACCCTGAAATGAATTATTCGTTCACTGTCATTTGATCACATACATGAAGAATAACATTAATAACAGCCACACACTGCCCACAGATGACATGTAGCTGCTAATTTACCAAATGTAGGCTAAGAACGATAATGTTATCGTGTATTGTATCCTAACTGTGAAGTCTCGGCTGCTGCAACTGTAATAGATGTTTCATTATGTACAGAAATATAACATGTTGATTCTATTGTTATTGATTATAACCAATCTCATTAAAATCAGATCTAAGTTCTCCCTGCCGCTAAACAAAGCTCAGCGATAGCCAGAATTAAGATCTGATTTGAATGAGATTGGATTATGATATTCTGTATATTCCATAAAGTAATAATTTACTTTTGCTGTTGATCTTATATAACGACGTCATGTGTCAATAGTGTAAATACGTGTCTTTTTTTTATAGAAAACAGTTAGCTTTACAACGTGTCTATATTTCAATACTTTGTACATATAACATGAAATGTATTCCGTAATATGTAATGTATTCAAGCTTTAACAAATAAACAATTTAGACCAAATAAATCTGAATTATTTTTGTCTTACGTTTTTCTCTCAGATTGTATATGGGTTTTAAAGAACGAATGTGTTTGTTACAGAGAATATATGTAATCAGGAACCCGTTGTAATCCCTTGACATTACAGGGAACATGTGGAATGTCTGATTCCCTTGGGGGATATGTATAATCAGAAACATGTTATAATCCCTTGACATTACGGGGAACATGTGGAATGTCTGATTCACTCTGGGGGATATGTATAATCAGAAACATGTTATAATCCCTGGACATTACAGGGAACATGTGGAATGTCTGATTCACTTTGGGGATATGTATAATCAGGAACATGTTATAATCGCTGGACATTACAGGGAACATGTGGAATGTCTGATTCACTTGGGGGAATATGTATAATCAGGAACATGTTATAATCCCTGGACATAACAGGGAACATGTGGAATGTCTGATTCACTTGGGGGAATACGTATAAACAGGAACATGTTATAATCCCTGGACATTACAGGGAACATGTGGAATGTCTGATTCACTCTGGGGGAATACGTATAAATAGGAACATGTTATAATCCCTGGACATTACAGGGAACATGTGGAATGTCTGATTCACTCTGGGGGAATATGTATAATCAGGAACATGTTATAATCCCTGGACATTACAGGGAACATGTGGAATGTCTGATTCACTCTGGGGGAATACGTATAAACAGGAACATGTTATAATCCCTGGACATTACAGGGAACATGTGGAATGTCTGATTCACTTGGGGGATATGTATAATCAGGAACATGTTATAATCCCTGGACATTACAGGGAACATGTGGAATGTATGATTCACTTTGGGAATTTGTTAAAAATCACTGAGTTATACATCTATGCAATGAAGCAGGCATTACACATATTCCCTTACGTTTCGGGGATTATACATATTCCCTGTAACATTAATAATTAAATTTATCCCTGCAAGATAACGTGGTGATCTTTGTGGCAAAGGTTAAACTCCCGGTCTGTTCACACAAGTCCTTCATCATGTTTCTTGTGCGGTTTCCACACACCTGTGAATTCCTCATCATTGTTGTCTTGTCGAACGTTCCTTGTTTGTTTAGGCATAATGAATGACTCAGGTTGTATGTCTTAGGACGTATCAAAGGGAGATAATAGAAGTTGTTATTGATACAGGTGAGACAGTTGGCCTCCCAACATGAGCACAAACATCTTCTGGAGTCAAGGGAGTTAACTGACTGTAAAAGCCCAGTTTCCACCCTTGCCGAACAAGGCTAGAATTCCATGTTGTAACATTTTGGCTGGACTAAAGAGTCTATGCATAGTTCAATCAAAATCGCGTAACGAACTAGACACCCGGTTCGTAAATAACATGGAATTCAACGTCCAAATTTCGATCGAATGCATGATTTGCAGTCTTGCTGCAAGACAAATGGGAAAAGTCCTGACGTAAGCAGGTCGACTCTATCGGGAACACCGACAAACTCCCATGCCCAAAATACTCTTTATACTGATAGTTTCGTAAACACGAAAAAGCGTATTTCCCGGTAACATAAAACAAATAAGTTGAAACAAGTATCGAAACTACGGGACGTATTTTGTTAATGTCCCAGTTTCCTATTCCCGGGTAATAGTTGATATGGAGGAGAAGAAAGAATGCGGTATGCTAATTTAACAAGCGAGTGAATGTGTGAGAGAATGTTTTATGTCGCAGTTGGAAATATTGCAGCTGTCACGACAGCCCGTTAATAATCGAGTCTGGGTCAAGCAAACCCTGGATTGAATACATGAGAAACGATCTAGTAGAACCTGACCACCCGGTTCATTTCAGTCGCTTGTTACGACCAGTAGCGGGTATCTGACAGCATAATGTCGGCCCGACAGACCATAGCGAAAGGCAAGTTCGCAACAGTTGATCTACTTTCTACATTGTACAAGGCATGTCAATACATTATATTGTCAAAACAGCACTGAAACACTACTATCTACTAATTATATTATACAACATATTATAACAAATCATTTTATTGCAAAAACAACGAAATGGAAAAGAAACGGTTTTTTTGGTATTATGAAATTCTAACGCAAACACTAAGCAGATAACTTGGTTTTAGAACACATAAGATCAGATGGCGAACTATTGGATTAGATTTTGTATTGTAGATACAATTACAAATAATTAAACTGGGATTGTGTCCTGCATGATCATCGGACACTCCACAGCCCTGTTCGGATCATGGCAGCATGTTTGTTTGTTTGTTTGTGTGTTTGTTGGTTTACACCGCACTCAGCACTATTCCAGGTATATGACGACGGTCTTTAAATAATACCGTCTGGACCAGACAATCCAGTGATTGACATCATGGGCATCGATCCACGCAATTGGAATACGATAACATGCATCAACCAAGTCAGCGAGCCTGACCACCCGATCCCGTTGGTGTCCTCTTACGACAAGCATACACTTTCTGTAACAAACTCACCCAACGAATTACTGAGAATTCGTGATTCATGTGTACTCGTAAACGCATAGCGTATATTCCGCATAAAACCTACACTCATGCGAGGCAGAACGAGTACATATAACCACGTACAACAGTGAAAAAATAAGTCATCGTACACAGTCACAAAGGCCAGTTTCTTTTTCCCTGTTACAACTAGTTTCATCAACATACACCCGACATTGTTCAACGAGCATACCTCGGAAATGAAAATGTGGTGAAATGGGGTTTAACGTCACGTCCAAGAATATTGCAATTATATAGCGACGCGCGTGTGTGTGTGTGTGTGTGTGTGTGTGTGTGTGTGTGTGTGTGTGTGTGTGTGTGTGTGTGTGTGTGTGTGTGTGTGTGAGCGCCAGGTAGGGTAACAAAAAGTACCATCTTTTAACCTTTTTTGGTATGACGCGGCCGGGGATCACTCCGGGCGGATGCTCTACCACTAAACCATGGAAGGCGGTCATGTTAATTGATGATTACATATACATACCATACAAGAACAACAAATTATATAATATTAATAAAAAATGTCTATTTATCCTTATTCTTAATGTTGTTTGACGTTCTGTTAACTTTCTGACCACCTCCGTGGTCTAGTGGGTAGAGTGTCTGCCTGGAGAGCGGTATGCCTGTGGTTCGATTCCCCGTGCGCGTCATGCCATAAGATGTTTAAAGATGGTACTTGTTACCTGCCTCACATAAAGGAGATACCAAAAGGACAGGTCAGATGGGAGTCAGTGTACTGAATCTGAGTGGCATGTCTTAGTGGGTTAGCACCAGGAAACCGGCAACAGCAGTACAGAAGCGTACACGCAGCCAAATGAAACCACACTCACTGTGAAACAAACAACCCGGAATAATACAAGTAGCAATAGGGATTAGGGAAGAAGAAAGTATGATTCACAAAATCCAATAATTATGTTTCCAGGTAGAGTTTATTCATTTTTGTTCTACTTTTTTGAACGATTTTTAGATTCGCATGTTCGGCACATATAAGGTTACAACTACATATGTGTATCCTTGCAATCGACGCCATTTTGTTGTTTTTGGAACAGGCACTACCCTACTGGTTTGGGAGATGTGACATCTGCTTGTACATACGGGTTCAAAGGGGGTCGAGGGGGTCCGGACCCGTCCCCTCTTGAAAACCAAATGTAGGATGTTGTAACCAGGGGGGATTTTGATATTTTGGATCCCTCCATTTTAAAAATGATGGATCCGCCCTTGGGCATACTTTTAGAAGCAATCACTGGAGATCAGACAGTAAGTCAGTAAAAGTGAGTGAGTATGGTTTTACGCCGCTTTTAGCAATAT